CCCCTTTTTTGTACGATCTTGTGTCTTTCCACGTTCATGTGTGTTTCTCTCTCTCTCCTTTCTCTCTCTGTATCTTTCTCTCTCTCTCTCTTTTTCTCTGTGAACTTTTAGTCAGGTCGCGGTGATGGGTTCTAAACGTGGTTGCCTCGTCTCTTTAAAGCGACTCACTCGTCGGTCGTCGTAGATGATACTCAATTAACTGTGCTATCGCCAGATTCCTCTCCTCCGTCGGGGGAACGCAGGGAATCGGCTAGCCACAATTATTGCCAATTCGTTTTCTATGTATGTGTGTATTTCTTTTGTTTCATACGAAATCGTCACAAGCGTTCTTTTTTTTTTTAATTCACGGACGAACAATCTATTCTCTTCTCTCACGACGTTCGGTCTAGAACAGATTCTTCTCACTGTACTATACGCATTTTAATCGTTTTAATCTCTTAAACAGTACTTGTCCTTATCTGTAATTAATTGAATCCCGTGGTAGTCGACGCGTAGTTGTTCATTTCACTTGGCAGTAAACGCTTGGCTCGGGAAGGGTTCGCAGTACACGTTGCAGATTTTCAGTCGTCCGCGTCTCACGGGCTTCGGAAACGAATTTTCGAAGAAAGAGAGAGAAAGAGAGAGAGAGCTACAAGTACTTAAGGCTCGTCCGAGCTTCGCAACGCGGTCCAGTGTACGCCTGCTCTGGATCCGCTCGGGAGCACAGAAAATCGGATCGGTGTTCGAAATCCTCTGTCGAAAGCCGATCCGCTTCGCCCTTTCTCTCTTCGCGTTCATCCATTTTTATATACGCGGAGTCTTTTGTTCTCTTTTTTTTTCGTTTGAAATTAAAACGGACAACGCTTGATATCGTTGAGCTGACTCGCCTGTCGTCCGCTCGCACGTCGGTCCGGCTTGAGCGCTTGCTTGCTTGACTGATTTTTATTCTCTCCACACGCTGTCTGTTCGTCCACGTAACTAACCAGAGAAGAATAATCCTAATTAAAAAGCCTCGTGACTCCGCGAGAAACCGTTTCTCTTTCTTTCAGACCACGCATATGTCGGGGACATACGGTGTCTCAAAGAAAAGAAATGTTCATTGCGAATATCTGGAGTTATGCAGATAGTTTTCTAATTAGAAGGACTATTCGCCTGTTTGTCTGTCACTTCGTTTCGTCCACGGAATCGAAAGATCCGTCGACCCTTCTCGGGGAATGTACTTATCTTCAGTTTCTTGCCTCTGTCGAGGCCTCTACGGCTGTTCATCTGATCTTTCATCGTTCGCCGAGTCCTCTAACACGCCTCTCTCTCTCTTTCTCTCTCTCTCTCTCACACGCGTCGATGTTCACTGTCCATCGTCCACTCGGTCGTGTCGTACAGGGTGCTTAAGGGAGTCTGTCAATGTGTACGTGTGACTAATACAAAAACCTTGTCGTGTCTGAATCCCGTTCTGAAGCGTCACAAACAATGAAGCGATCCATGTCCAAGGCGATGGTCGCCCGATCGATCTCGACGCGAACCCGATCGCGAGATCCCTCGAGGTCGTAACGGAATGAATTTTTTCAAGACAGATCGAAAATTGTATCGTTCGCCGATTAAACGAAATTACAAACTGACAAATATACTCATGTTTTAAGCAACAACGTCACCAGATGGACAATCAACGATTTCTAAGGACTTCCTAGGCACCCTGTACGATCGGTTTTGTTTCTGTGGATTCCGAATAAGTGGGACAGTGAACACGAAGGGGGCGGTTCGTTCCCTTTTGTCAACGTTGCACGGAACGAGATCACGGTAAAAAAAAAGAGAAGTACTTAATCGTGAGTCTCGGATCTCCCTCCTGCATCCTTCGTTCGATCAGCGGCACGAGAAGGGGATTCGTGATCGAGATCCGAGAATACCTCACGCTCGGACAGCGAACGAGAAACTTATTTTTTAATCCGTCGACCCAGGCGGAATGTTGTTTTCTTTTTCTTTTTTTTTGTAAAAGCTCTTAAAACGTTTCGCGGACCGGGTGTGTGCCCTGTGAAACACCTCGACTTAAATGCCGATAATCCACTGCCAGGGTTGCGCGCGAGAAACGAAAGCAACATGTAAAAAACGATATTATGCGTGCGACTCGTTGGATTGCAGTGGTACGCGTGTGTCGACACGCGGTGTTCCTCTGGAATCCGATGAGTCGGGCGTACGCGAAATTCTTTTAGGTCTTCTCTCCCGGTTGCGACCGATCAAAGACGTGGGATTTTTATCCTGGAATCGACTAGCTCGAATTCTTCTTGGGAAACGACGTTCCCCGTTATTATCTCCGATCTGTCTTATTGTCAAAGGTCCTGCCTGGCGAAGTTCGATTCTCTGAAAAGCGAACTTTGATCTCGGCCCGAGAATTCTCACTCGCGATCCCCCCTGATATTCCGTCGTTTCAACAGGTTGGGACTCTCGTTCTCGGCTGAATGCCATTGCGATCGAGAGAAGACGTTTTCTATGTCTGACTCGCACGCAGATTTGTTACGAGCATCGGAACGAGAACGATCTATCGATTAAGTAAGGATACACGTAGGGAGTATCTATATATACATACATATAAATATACATATTAATTTTTAATTATTATTAGCTACTACTATTATTATTATTGTTATTATATAAAATAAAGTTTAAGACACGTTATATCCGAATGTTATAAATATTTGATTGGGACCGATCGGCGGAGGGCGCGGCGATTATTTGGTTCGACGACGTCGATCCCCCGCGCCGCCGCTTTCAAAACGAGATATTGTACATAGTACACCAGCTTCGAGTTTTATTCCGTCGCGACGTGTAGATACATCGGTGTATTTAATTCGTTGGACGATATCGCCGAGGGACGCTTCTCAGTTTCCGCGAGGACGAACGCGACGCAGGGGATCGAACGTTCGATTAATCCGCCGCGTCCCTCGATCAAGGAGTGCGCGTGACGAAGGTCGGTCTCTCGATTCGCGGAATGGAAAGTAAAAAGGAACTTCTGTACGAATCTATTTCCCATCCGAAGACATAGAATTGCGAACTATTTACTTGGGACTGTCGTCGAGATGATTCTATTTTTTTACTCGCCCTCGTAGCCAGAACTCTTCTGTACAAGGTGTCTGAATCGGTGTCGGAGAACGCGAGCGTTACGAGTGGGATGGTATTAGTGGGGTAGGAAACAAATAGTACACTGGTGTCAGAAATAATTCGATTTTATTTTCTCAACACTTGGCTGATAACACTTTTTATATATACTGCTTGCACCTCGTGTAAAAGCCGTGACTCTCGACACTGGTCGCCTCTCCACTCTGTCTCTACGTCGAGCTTTCATTCCGATCCCTCTCTATCGAGCGTACGAACGATCGGAGTCCTGGATTTCGATCGGGTTTCCAGGCGCGAGACGCGCTGCCTCCGGTACGCGCCTGGAAAACGTGTTCTACTTCGATCGAGATCGAAATGGCAAAGCCACTCCCGCTGTCTATGCACACAGAGAAAAGCATTTTTCTATCGTTTCTATATTTACGCTTGGCTTACGTTAGACCGTACTATTATCTATTGCACAAACTCGCGGTGTGTTCCTTCGCGAACGAAGGAAGAGAGTGCAAAATACTCGTAACAATTTTTATATCTGAAATCTTTCTTAAAGATAAGACGTAAGGCGATGAGCCGAAGAAGGATGGTCGTTGAATCGAATCGGTTTTTCACCTGGCGCCAGCGACTTTATCTTGCAGGTGAAAAGCCGGGAGAGATGCGTCTCGGTTTCCGAACACCGGCACGTTAGCTTGTCACTTTTATTATTTGTCTCTCACGCTCGCCCGACATCTCAACTCCTTCGTGTGTGTTTTGTAACTCGCCGCTCTCGCTCGTAAATCGATCTTATTTCACGGGAAAGGGAAATCTTATTCTATCTCTGTCTCGCGCGAGAAGATCGGGCCCAGTTCCGATCCGCACTGGAGCTTCTGCACATTTACGATTGAAAAAGACGTCTATAGCGGTGGAATCCGTAGCGTGGCTCGTCGAGGCCAGAGCTCGCGGGGGTGGTCGTCGATCGCGGATGCTTTCGATCCAAGTACAAATTGTTTAAGGTGAAACGAGGCCGGTCTCGTTCGTTCGGATCTCGTTTAAGGACGACCGCGGTGTGTGAGCTCTGGTCGGACCACGCGTCGTCGACCGTATTCCGATATTTGTACTCTGGCATGCGAAACGAGCGGAACTACCGCGCGGTACTGTTCTACCTATTACTTAAAAAACTATTTATCTGAGAGCTTGTGACACGCGGTGGGATATATATATACGTATATACTATTTATATATTCTATCCGACGTCTGTACTACGCTTGATCAATGTGTTTCACCGTTTCGCGACACTTATCCACAGAATACTCTACAAGATACGTTCACGTAATAAAAGTCATTGTTATATATGTATACTTCTTTCGTTTCTTGACTTTCGATTACGGTACGATGTGTATGTAGGTCTCGTTGGAGCGTGTTCGAAGTGCGCGGAGGTATGGGCCACCTCTCTCTCTCTCTCGGACTCTGCCTTCTGTTTTTCTCGACACAGGAATTCGCCGAATTATATTTACGTCCAAGTTGATGTATCGTGCGAGGGTCCGACCCGGAGAACGTTTTTACATTTTCCGTTGCATGTAACGAGCTGTCCTCGGTTTCCGCTTATCTATCTCGGGTTTTCAGTTCGATTATTATTTCCACACACTTCATACTCGGCCGAATCTTAGTATCTTTTGAACGACGGGTGTCCAGGCACTTTTTAGCTGCTACGTTATTACTATTTTTTGTTTGTTTTTTATCTAAGTAACTACCTTTGATGCTTCGCCCGGAGTTAAAAGGTGCCTAAGGGCTCAGCGGACCAAGGGAACGTATCTTTTATTTATCTTTTTGTATCTCTCTGTAACGAAATCATTTCGAGAAGCGGCGCACTGCTATAAACGCGAGTGCGTAAAAACTGCTCCGTTGCGATCCAGTTATAACCATGATATTATCCTTTGCTCTTGAAGGTAATAGGTGGCGAGTTGCAGGAACGTTTGATACCAGTACCCTACAGCAAGAGTTCGACAGACCAAGCTGTAAGCGCTCCTCTCTGCTCTATCTTTCTTCTCACTTTCGCTAACTCTTATTTCTGTCTGTCTGTATCTGTATTCTGTATTCTGTCTGTATCTGTATCTGTCCATAACTATTAATACTCGACTAACGTAACGAACACGAACACGCGATATACACTTGCACACGTACACAGAACTTTTCTTTTCCTTTCTGTCTGTCTGTCTTTCTAGCTTATGCTTCTCTGTTCTCTCTCTTTCTCTTTCTCTTTCTCTCTCTCTCTCTCTCTCTTACTCTTAATTTCACTATTTTATACAGCGTTTTTTATACACGCTCTCTGTGTTGCCACCTGTTTGTCGCTGTGCTGTCGATTGCCCTTTTTCGCTTTCAACACGCTTTCTTTTCGCCTCTCGTCTCTCTCTTTGTGTGTGTGTTTTCCATTTTCCCCAACGTTTTCGTTTCATAGGACTGCGATATTTAATCCCTGGCCTCTGCATTTTTGTTACACGTCGAGTGCCGGCACTTCCACCGCGCAAACGAAGCGCGGGTGGCTTGACAGCTTGAAGAATGAAAAGGCAAGGGTGTCGCGTATTTTTTTTTCTCCTTTCCGCTCAGCTACACGGTTACACGCGTCCTATTTCCATTTAGTACACGCGCCCCTTTGCACCGGTACACGGACACGTACACGAGAAGAGTACACGGAGCACTAGAGAACAGCTTTCGTTCGACCCGCTTCCACACACACATACACACACACACACACACATATACAGACTCTCTCGACAACTGTTTCTCTTCCTTCGTGGATCTCGACACCTGGTGACGCTCGTTCCTTTAACAGGTTCAGCCCCGTCTCTTAGGACCTAGTCGTTGGACGTAGCATTTTTTTAGTCCGTCGGTCGGTTCGACGAACACGCGTAGCTCCACGTGCATGACGAGCAGTTTTGAGCCTTTGTCGGTCTCTAGTTTCTCGTTCAGTTCGGATAGAACAATCACCAGCGGTGTCGAGAGCGTGCAATCGCTTATAGAATAATCGACCGAAGTCTCTCCGTCGTTTCCAGCGGCACGCTGCATCCCTTGCTCTCTGCCACTCTCGTATCCCGTCCCTGTCTCTGTTCGAGAACGAGGAACATCTTTCTGTCCGACTCGTCTCGGCGAGAATCGTTCCGATCGTTAGACGAACTCGTCGATCGTTCGTTTCTCGTCGAGGCGAGGATGTCCCCGTCGTTGGGAGATTCGTTCGAAAAGGGAACGTGGGTGTTTCTCTCTGACCATTTCCCAGACTCGCTCAAGTTCAGGGACACGTTTTAACCGGCGTTTCCGTCGAATCCGCTGTCGAGTAACTGAGTAGCGTTTTGCCGGTTCGACCGGACTTTGTTGTCTTGTACTTAAATTCGACTTTCGCTGATCCTTCGGCTGACTACGCTTACATGCAAGCAAAGTAGTATGGAAACCTGTTGATTGCATTCACGATATACGACGTGGCTCGCGCCGCTCTCGAACGTCTGTCATTTAAACACGTGACGATGCGTGTATACTAATCGTAGATGTGTGAGACCGTCTGAATGGTTCGCACGATCCACGTCGTACACGTAGGCACGTTACTATATTGTTCCATTGCATCGTACGATTTTATACCACACTTCTAGTACTTACGACTAAACTTTTTCCAAGCGGACACGCTTCCAGAATTCGATACACAGAAATTCGCGCGTATCTCCACACGAATCGTGTGTCGTACCATCGCCGCCGGTGCGAGTCGGCCACGTCTCGAGAGACGAGAACACTGTTGTTTTTCTTTCGAACACACTCGTGGGTGGAAATAAAAAAGCGACGACGTGCGTCTCTATCGGAGAGGGTCCACGTTGGCTCGGAGAAAAACTACTTCTTTTCTTTTCTTTCAATTCTCTCTCGTTTTCCCTTCACCGAAAGGAAGCGCGATCGATCGGCTAGCGATCTTGGACGAATCCGCGACTGAGGATCGCGAGATCCTTCTCTTTCTTCTCTTTGCCACTGTTCACGCCTTTTTCTCTCTCTTATCTGACGAGTCTGAACTCTGATCCCCTCGCCGCACTAGCAACGTCTCGCCTTTTGACCGTCGCTCGCCGACGTTCCTCCCGGGCGAGAGGAACGCTCGACGAAGCGACTCGCGGGTGGCGAACGCGGCTCGTGACGCGAGGGATCGCGAAACGAAAGCACGTGTGCCAAACCTTGCTGTGAGCTGCCTAGAGAAGCGAAGCGAACGAAACAAAAGAGAAAGAGACCGACTCGAAACCGAATGAAACGAGAAAACGAGACACGTCGAAACGCGGGACGAGCGCGTACGCGCTCCGAGCAGAGACGCGGAAAACTGTATAGCGTGCATGTTCGAAAAACAAAGTACCAGAGTGGCGCATTGTCTAAACCGGATATTCGGCCAGGTTTAAGAGTCTGTGACCGTCAGCCCGGTTAGGGGACACACCTCGCTCCACGGCGCATCGTGTAAGTATTCCCTCAATGTTTTCTGTCTGACAACCAAAAAACAAAAAAAAAAAAAAAATAAGAAAGATATATATAACATAATTACGTACCACGAATTAATCAATGAAACGCGACACATTTTCCTGCCACCTCCATGAAAAATGCAAGAAAGGAAGGAAGAATAAAAAGAGAGAGAGATTTATATATATATGTGTAAACTTATGTATATTTTACATTTCACGGTTTCTCTGTACTCTGTACAAAACTTAAAAAAATAACGGGAAGAGATATAAAAAGAAATCGAGCTAAGGTCTCGTTGTACATTTCGGACGGGGTCAAATCTTTTCACTGACATATTATTATATGATATGATATGATATATATATATATCACGTATAACAACGTTTCGTCGATTGTTACATGATACTACGCCAATTGCATGCCAAAGTTCTCGCAGTCTGCGATTCCGTCACGCTGGATTACAGCTCACTCATCAGACGGTGTGCAAGTGTATATGCGCGGAGTCGTCGTTTCTTTTTATTTTTGCTTCTCGTGGAGAACGAGCGCGCGTTTCTTTTGCCAACAGGAAACGAAGGAGGACGCAGCAAGTACGATGCGTCGGCTTATTTCTTCGTATTTTTTTTTTTTTTCTCTTCTTTTAATTCGAGTCGGCTTATTGTTGGAGCCTCGCATATCCGCTTGGCGCATCGACGATCGCGGGCCCGAAGCGGCACGCTCCCGTCGCCACGCGTGACCGACGGGTGCACCGCGCGGAGGATCTCGAACGATCGGCGGGTGCATGTGGTGTTGCGTGACGTTTGCAAGCATAATTTGTGGCGGTGACGTCCGCGCGAACCCCGGGGTGCCTCGGGTCGCGCGTCGACGTCGCCTCCTCAAATTCTCTGTTTAACTATTGCCTTGCTGTGCAGGGTATCGACGCCCCGCTAGTTCTTCTAGTAATTTCGTGTGGCCGCTGCTTTCTGTCTCTTTATACATACACATAATTATATATATATTTAAAATATATATATATATCTACATGACTGTCCCCTGATCTGTTCAGAGGTTGATCATCCGCAAGCGGAGTGATTACGAGGAAACGATCGGTGCTTCTAAGCTTTTCACATTTAATGTTGCTTCAAAGCTCGTCGCATCGACGTTCAAGGTCCGTTTCGGGAGAAGCTCGTTGGAAACAGTTAGTTTAAACTTAGAGACAGACGATCTCTCGAGGACGAACGTCGATGGCGAAGGGATGATCAAGCTCGTGTTAAATGGATTTTCTCTATATCCAACGGTGTGTCCATCCCGAGGCTCGCAGCGGCCGAGGGACGCCAAGCCCAGAGCCCTGACTGACAGTAAGGTTTCCGGTTACAGATCCGCGTAGTGAACGCATTTCGGCAGGGCCTAGACGCGCGCTACACGAGCGAGCACAGCAGCACTACATTGGCGGAAGTACTGAGAAAGCAGTCGTCCTTGAGTAAGCGGCTCTCGCAGACGAGCAGCATCGAATACGCCGACAACAACCCAGACGAGCTGACCATACCCGAGATAGACGTGGAGAGGCTGTCGAGTCACAGTCACACCGAGACCGCCGTTTAAGCGCGGGACGAAAAGAAGACGAAGGAAGCAAGAAGAAGAAAGGGTTGCCACGCGACGCGACGACGACGACGACGACGACGACGACGACGACGACGCGACGGCCGTTCGAAATCCTCGCTCTGTGTTACGTTCGCTACTTCTGTGTTTTCACACACACGACGACACACGGTCATCCTCATCCTTGTTTCTCTCGTGGCCAGCGCGTTCGGAGAACAACTAAATATAATATGTATAAGAGAACCGTGTGCGTCGATCCTCCTGGACGAGATTACGGACAAAAGAGGATCGGTATTCCTAAACTAGTCAAAACAAACAAACAAACAAACAAAAAAATGAAAAAAAAAAATGGAAAAAAAAGATAACGAGGAACGAGTAATCGTGACGCGAGTTAGGTCCTCGTCATTTTTTCTCTCTGTGCTTTGTCAACGACGGTCGATGGAACGGACGATCGGATCGTGCGTCAGCTAAAAACTTAACTATCGCGATGCTCGATCCTCGGGGGAAGGATAGGAAAAGGAAGAAAGATAGAAATCGTGACGACGACGACGACCTTCTGCCCGCGAGACGTCGTCGCGGACACCTCAGCTGATCCGTGCGAAACACCAACTATAGGATACCAAAGTAACGCACCACTGCCTTCCCTCCGTTTAGTTTAGTCGTTATACTTACGTTTCCTTCGGTTTTTCTTTCTCCTCTCTCTCTCTCTCTCTCTATCTATATATCTCTCTCTCCTCGTTTCCCTCGCTCTCTGACAGACTAAATGTCCATCTCGTCACCCATCCTCCTTCTCTTCCTCTGCTCCTCTTCTGTCCCCCCTGTGATCGTTCGTTTTCTTCTATCCCACGAAATCGCACCGCATGGAATTGTACCAGAGAGACACGAAGAGAGCAAGGTGCTCCTCTTGACTTTTCTTCGTTGTTCGCGCTCGCCGGCTTCTCTTCGCGCCATTTTTTACTGCCATCCATCCATCGGCCACTTATCTCTCTCTATCTATCTATCTCTAGCTCGCACAATACTCGCTACACTCGTCCCCATTTTCTACTCGTCAGCTTTTCTCCACTCGACGTTCTTTTCATCGTTTCCGCTGGCTATCCGTCTGTCTACTATCTGTGTCTCTGTCTCTCTTCCTCGCTCTTTCTCGCGTGACTTAAAACATGATCTAGTCACTAGTTTGTATCGCTAAATACTTCCGTGAATATACTCAGCACTGGGGGTGCCTTACCAAGAGAAACAAAGTTAAAAGGGGGAAAACAAGAAGAATCGCGCATCGTTCTTTGGTCTCGCGTGTAAAACGAGGTACGAGAGAGTGAAACGAACGTTTTCTCGCGCCGATTCTTCTTTGGCCACCTACGCGTAATCAGGGGGGGAGGGGGTTGGATGGGGTGGATAATCAACGGAGGGAAACAGGTGTCTAACGAAAGTAAACGAGATCTGTAAAAAGGGGAACGGATTCCACGACATTGCCATTATTACGCTTAAATCGATACGAAGATCCTGATAGTAAAGACGTTGATCACGCCACGGTACGAAGACCCGCATGTTGTAATTTTTAGTAATAAATATATAGCCACGATTTACCCAGACGTCGAAACCATCGAACGAGACACCTTCTCTTCTGACCACGTTCCATCTCAGGACTCAGTTCACTATCTCAATTTCTTTCCGTCGTTCCGCTTGTCCGCGTAACTGTAATTATTCTCAGGACCTGTCGATCGCCGATCGGGAACGAGCCGCGCGCGTCGGCCGCGTCTTCGATCCGCAAAGGATCGGAGCCGGACTCCGACGCCCGGCCGGTCGCGATCGCGAGCTTCGAGGACGCCGATCCGACGATCTCGTGCGCGTCGCCGGAGGGCCGGGTCCCTTGTTTTATCATTTTCCTTTCTCACCGTCGTTTCGGAAGAACCAGTGTAGATGGTATTCGTGTCACCTGACTACTAAACCTTTTGCAATGCCGTCGACGGGCGTCCGCCCCGAGACGAGTATAATAAGTTTTTAACGAGATATAGCAAAACGTCTAACTATATACGAGAACCGCTGCCAAATGAATGAGAAGCGATACGTGACGCGTGTTTACCGAGTCTCCATGAAGTCAGTAGCCAGTATAAATATATTATACGATATGTAAAAAATATATATATATTCGTTCGAGATGTGTACGTGTAGCTTTCTAAAATTCGTTCGATGTGTGTGTGTGTGCTGGGACCGGAAACGCGGGAGGCCGGGTGGGGGGAGGGTTTACGAAAGAGCGGGTGGGTGGTTTGGGGCAGGGGTTGAACGCGAGAGATGCGCGGGGTTAAATTCGAGGGCTCGCGGACGAGAGAACAATTTTTCGTAGGTCCGTTCGAAAGAGAGAAAAGGGATAAAGAAAAGGCTTTAAATGGCCTATTTACATGCACTTATTCTAGTCTTAAGCACTCTATATGCCTTACACTGCCAGTTATAAAGACGCGCTGTTCTTATGGATACCTGTAAACGGTACACACACATATATACGTGTATGTATATATACAACGATGCCATCGTCGCCGTTTATCCGTCGACGTCGTCGTCGTCCTCGCCGTCATCGCGATGTACTTTGTTCGAAACGTTCATCACCCAGCATCGTTTCTTTCCCATCCTTCGGAATTCCCTTTCTTTGCGACCACCCACAGCTTTCCTACGGCCTCTCTCTCTCTCTCTCTCTGTGCGTGCTGGCTAGTCCCTTCGCACCCCGTCGTCCGTCTCTCTCTCTCTCTCTCTCTCTTTCTCCCGATCCTCGAAGAATACTCGTCGCGCGCACGTATATGTTTCACTCTCTCTCTTCTCTCTTTTTTTATCGGAGCTCGGAGATGCACAAACGATGTTACTCGGTGGGAACCTGACCTAAGACCGCTACTAATTTCACGCAGGCTTCGATAGACACGGTCGCGGACCGATTTCAAAAAGGTTGAGCAAGTTCAGCGCGCCGATCGCTGCTCGTCACGGAAAGAGATGATCAAAAACACACACAGACGGACACACACACACACACACACATACACACATACAGACAGCTTGCCGTTATCGAGGCCGCTGCATGCTCGGTACCGACACGATATTCTGATTGTTGCCGTTCTCTCACCCCGTTCGTCATCCTCGTTGTGTACCTCTTTGCGTTATTATGTTCTGCCCACCGCCGAGATCGCACCGATCATCCGAGTGAACTCGGTATACAACCGAAGAAGGAAAAACGAAAACAAAAAAAAAAAAGAAAGAAGAAGAAGAGAAAAATCGACTCGTCACACTCGTCCCGTCCCTAAAACTGCATTAAGCATCTTTTTACGCTCCGATCGTTCTTACTCTGTACTCTATATTTAAACGCATTTCGCGACTATTTAAGATTGTGTAGAGTATATAAAGAATAATATCGCGCGGCAAGCCTGGAAAGCGAAAGGGAGGCCGATAGTTTCTCGACGGCCGAGACACAACGAGAGTCGTGAGGAAAGAGAGAAACGGAGAACTGAGAGCGCAGCCGATGTTGTCGCGCGTTACGAGAGAATTAAAAGGGAATTGAACTAGGGAGAAAAAAAAAAAATGGTTCTCGTAGCGGGAAGAAGAAACTGTCCTTGTATATACCTCGCGACGACGACGCGTCGTCACCAGTGCGAATCCTTGGAGGACCGGCCGCCCCGAGGACGTCTTCTCCAAGCCCGTTTTCCTCCGACGTTTCCTACGGGCAAGAACGGAAAAGGAACAAGAAGACGACGAGAAGAGGAACATAGTACATAGTGCGAAAGCCAGTGAGAAGAGATTTTTGTGCAGCGGTTAGATATTGCACCGATCCGTAAAAAAAAAAGAAAATACGTCGTTTCACGTCTCACGCTTCGAACTGATCATCGATCCCGTCGAAGAGATCGAGCCGTCTTCTCACATACAGTGTACATATACTGCATATATATATATTATATAGTATATATAATATTGTATACATAAATATATTATACGACACGTATAATATTTATATGTATACATATATTATATACATATATACATACATCTAAGCCTTTGATCGATCATCGATCCGCGGATCCTTTTCGCGATTGCTCTGTACGACCCAAACGGACAGCAAGAACTTCATTTTCGTTCCGCTTTTCTACTATTCTTTTGAAAGAATCGGGTGAGTCGCGATCGCGGAAAGGGCCCCGAAGATCGACCGAAAGAACAGATTGTTTTTTTGTTTTTTTTTTTTAAAAGAAAAAAAGGTTGCTCGGCGAAAGGGAGTAGCTGCATGACAGTTGTATATCCTTGTAAAGTAAATCTGATCGCTCTACTAAAAGTAATGAAAAATGATAGGCGGTCACCGGCGACTTCCGTGTTGAGAGGAAGTCGGCGCGGCTGCCATCGGCTCGGGTATTTCCAGAACGCAGGATTAATCCTTTCGCGGCGTTTAAAGATTTATCGTCGACCGTTGTCCTCTGTCCTTGTTGAATCAGTAATAATGGTGTTAGCGATAACGACGGATTCGCGACTGGAAATCTGCGGCTGCGAAAGGATTAATCTCGGGAGGTCTGTGGCTGGTGCGTGTGGCAGAATTGATAAAACGCTCGTTCGTTCCCGTTGCACCGGTTAAAGGAGATAGTAGAGCGCGGTCGGAATATTTTTAACGGCAGATTTCTGTCGAGTCTGCGAGACGCATGGCCACGGATCCGCGATCTGGTATTTCCGGTCTATCGTCGAACGACGGGCACGTCGTGATCTAAACAGATCCTCTTCGAACCCGTCTATCGAGTTTCAAGTTCAATCGTGCCACGACGTGCCCATCGCTGGAACAGTAAACGTGCCACTGCCCGCGAGACGCCGGATGTGTCGACAATTTCGTACTGGCATTTAACGCGCGCTGCAATTTTCTCTTGGTTTTACGCTCCGCCATTGTTCGATAATCGCCCCTCCGTAAAGCATACGTGCGTCGAGATCTTCCACCGCGGTCTCCGTGGTCCGAAAGCGGTTCACGCCCCGGGTCAGAGCCGATAGCAGCTATCGACGACGTCTGTGTCCTCCAGCTTGCTGCGAACAGAACGCGAAGGAGAACGAGGATCGGAAGAGCTCGATTCGCGTGGTCGCGAAGAAAGAAGAGAGACAAGTTGATCAGCGTTAATCGCGTCCTTGTACCATAAGCAATAACGATAACGATTAAAATGAAATTAGAGAACGATTGGAAGATCGATGACTGCAATATCTCACTGCTGGATCGATTCCGAGGGGGGAAAGGGGTGTTCTCGCAGAGCCGTGACGAACTTTCTTGGACGAAAGATAGAAAGAAGCTACTTTAGACGCGTCGATACTTGTATTTAAAGAAACAAACAAACTATGCGAATCTATCGAATAATTATATTTTACACACCTAGCGACGTTTATTCTCGCCCCATTGTTTAGAAGATCTTGTCGTTTCATTTGAGTAATTAAAGTACAAGATTACTTACGAGATATATGAATGATAAAAAGGGATAAACCTGTAAAACTTGTTCAATCTTCGCCGACACTGTCGCGCCTTCACTCATTATCCTTGCTGCTGCTGCTGCTGCTGCTGCCGCCCGCTGTTCAATCACCGTTCTCTGCATCCTTTTCCCGCCGCCGTTTTCGCGTTCCACGATTATCGTCGCCGATAATCGGTGGCCCGACGGTCGATCGTCGAATCTAGATGTACCATTTTTTTTTTTCCTTTCGGTGAATAAAACAAAAGCAGGAGGACAGAAACTTTTCCGTCGTTAGGGAAAACGGCCGGGATTTCGAGTCGATGATCGATCGCGTGATTAACGGATCCAGAGCGACACGAGAAAACTCACCATTCGCGGTTGGGACCAAGTCTCGACGATCGTCAAGTGTAAATTAGAAAGACGAACCGACGAACAAAAAGAAATATGCTGTTACAAAAGATAGAAACCAAAAAGAAAAAAAAAAAATACAAAAAGGAAACGCGAAAGAGACGATTTCTTTCGACAGCTTACTCGTGTCTCGTCGTTTGTAAAACTCCTAGCTGACGTCGTGCACGCGATCACATAAGTTACATACGGAGAACGCGCGAGCGTACGTTAATTACGTTTTCCGTCGTTTTCTCAAATTGACTGGATTTACGGGCAATCGATCGACGCTTCGCGAAACGCGCGTCCAACCAGATGATTAATTAAACGACGGCGTTCGTCGGTCTCGCAAGCGTGTCCGCGTGTTGCCTCCGTGAAATGGATCAAATTGAACGAAGTACGGTATGGACATTGCGTTTGTGCTTGCCGGCTGTACGAGGTAAATATATATATATAATATAAAGGCGGCGAAGGTAATCGAAGGACCGAACGATATGTCTCTCTGTGAAACAAGCCTTCGTTTCCAACGTACGTCTCCTAGGGGGTCACGCGAATTGTTTTTTGCAGGGAAAAATAAAAAGTATTCGAGAACGCAACACTTGGCGGAAAAAAACTAAATATATTAAGCTAGTTATTTATAGCGTGTTCCCTCCCGAAAAGCGTTATTTCCGGGGGAACGAGATTTATTCCACTTGTCGGATGGGTTACGCCGGTACCGATGCCGAGAGGAAGTGAGAAGGAGCGTGGCTTTCGATTCTCACACACACGGTCTGGATCAAAGACACACGAGCAGCAAAAAAAAAAAAAGAAGAAATGAATGAGAGATGCGATGCGTATAAATAAATATATATATATATATACATACAGAAGTAAAGAAGCAAATACTCATATATATTTGTATATGTTCGGAATAACGTTGTCGAATATTCGGAATATATATACATATATATATCTGTCTGCAGCATATGCAGCAAGTAATAAAGAGGAAAATAAATAAATTAAACTGGAGAGTTGTACCATGCCGGAGTATGTAATATCCTGTGTTAAAAAAACAATGAAAACAGAAGAAAAGACCGATCGGAAACTTGTTGTAATTCAGAAGTATTTTGAGAGAGAGAGTATCCTTTCTAGCGACGAGTCGGAACTTAACTGGTTAAAATTTAAGCAAGTAAATATATTTATTGAAGTTAAAGTGTGGTAAATTTTAGAAACGTTGGAATTATGTTTCATATAAACGAGTTATTGATTTGTTTCACATGTGCAATCATATAATGTGAAATGATATATTGTGAACACTAAAATAGATAATGAAAAATTATATTATGAANAAGTAAAGAAGCAAATACTCATATATATTTGTATATGTTCGGAATAACGTTGTCGAATATTCGGAATATATATACATATATATATCTGTCTGCAGCATATGCAGCAAGTAATAAAGAGGAAAATAAATAAATTAAACTGGAGAGTTGTACCATGCCGGAGTATGTAATATCCTGTGTTAAAAAAACAATGAAAACAGAAGAAAAGACCGATCGGAAACTTGTTGTAATTCAGAAGTATTTTGAGAGAGAGAGTATCCTTTCTAGCGACGAGTCGGAACTTAACTGGTTAAAATTTAAGCAAGTAAATATATTTATTGAAGTTAAAGTGTGGTAAATTTTAGAAACGTTGGAATTATGTTTCATATAAACGAGTTATTGATTTGTTTCACATGTGCAATCATATAATGTGAAATGATATATTGTGAACACTAAAATAGATAATGAAAAATTATATTATGAATTTGAATTTACAAAAGTTTAATTGAACGTTATAAATAAAGAGAAATACACAATTATACAAACTGTCGAGAGCCGGAGACGATCTTTGCTATTCTGTTTTTTTTCTCGCAGCTCGCTTCGTTTCTTTCTTCTCCTTCGATCGCTGTCTACCGCGACACGATTACTTTAGGAACTTTGTTTTATTTTGCCGTTATAAAATCACGATACAGATTCGTTTCTCTAATTACACTGTACAATAAAACGACGTCACGATCATTGAACACGTCGCGGAGATGCGGCGTCGGGCGAACTAACGTACGATTACTGTTCCTCTTTTTGTAACAGCCCGTACCTTCGCTGCAGCTCTTCCTCCATAGCTTCCAACTGTTCCCTGCTCTGTTCCTGGGTCATCTGCTCCATCAGCTCGTGGTTGTACGTGGAGTGAAGCATCAGCGCGAGCACGCCAGCGCGAGTAGCCATGTTCGCTCTGATCTGTCTCTCCTGTTCGACCAGCTCGTCTATCTTCAACCACTGCCTCACTCTCTCCATGTCTATCTCCGCTCGTCGCAGTTTCTCCCACACGTAATGCTTCACGCAGCTCTTCTTCGGCGCGCGACAGAACTCGCCGGTCGTGTCGAACACGTTGGTGACCAACGGGCAACCGCACACCTCCGTCTCGCTGATCTTCGGGTCTTTGCAGTGCTCCGGGCAGAGGACCCGCAGTCGCTTACAGTAAGTTCGATTCACGGGATTGTAAAAGTCACAGAACATCACTTGACCTTCGATGCGGGTTTTGAAGATCGAGCCGAACGACGCTTGAGACTCGTACTGAAAGATGAAATTTCGTTATAAAAATGCATTCGGAGCGTCACGTGACGAGAGGTACCTTGTTGAAGCATTTCTCCATGTGCTTGATCGCGGTCCTCGAGTGAATCTCGTGGCCGCAAGTGATGCAGTACATGCTCATCTCCGTGTCGTCGTTGTCGTCCACCTCCGCTTGCGGATCGATCGTCGCGTGCCTCGCGCGTTCGACTATCCGGTCCAGTTCCACGTGTCTCTTGTCCAGCTCGTGGAGTATCCGCCGCACGTCCTGCTGCTGTTTCCTCACCATCTCCAACTGCCTCCTGTTGTTCTGCTCCGCGATGCACGGCGTCAAGGACCACTCTTGTATGCGTTGAGGCAACACCTGGTAGATTCTGTTCGTCGCCAGTTTCAGTCCGCACTCGTCGGAGCAGTATTTGCTGCCTGGTCGCGACTGCTTCGTGCAAGCAGGCCCGTAACAGTGCCTCGGCGCCTCCAGATACTCGTTCCTCTCGTTACTGGAATCCCTCTTTCGTTTCTTGATGAACTTCGAGCTCTTGTTGAAACTCTTCGAAGGTTTCAACGGGTCGCCCAGCACTCTGCAAGTCCTCTGTATGCACCTCAGCTTCAATCGGACGGAAGGCCCGAACTTCTTCAAGTGCCTGAACAACGAGCAACGATTCGTATACGTAAGATCAATAAGTCTTCGTTTCTATTTACCTGCATGCATCGCATTTGCCACAGTTCTCGGTCCTTAAGCAACCGGTACATTCCCCGCAACGTTTCGAAGACCTCTTCGTCTCGGCGGTGTTCCAAGGCGCATCGTATTCGTATCTATGAGCTCTGTCCTTCTCCTTGTGTTTCTTATATTTCCGATCCTCCTGATCCGTTCTCCGTGGCTTGTAACGCGTTATCAAAGTCGGATCCTCTTCTCTGCAGCGCTAAACGTAATTGATCAGCGCTAAGTCTTACAGATCTCTGAATCACTGGATACAGATAAAGAATCCTTACAATACAGAAGAATTGTTTTATGTGCTTGGCATCCTTCTCAGTAATGTTGATGCAGTCGCCGTGGTACCATTCCTCGCACGCGTCGCATCCTCTGTGAATCAACGACAATTTTAATCGACCTCCTTTACGAACTTTATCGCGTTCGCATTCTTACATCATGAACCGCGAACTGTCGGAACTCCTGCAAATGCAATACGCCTGTCCATCCTGTTTAAGCAAAGTGGCGATTTTGCTCTTTCGCTCCGGCAGCATAAACTGCTTAGCTATCTCCTCTTTCTGTAAAAACAAAAGTGATTTAGTCACTAGTGTATCTACGTAGACGCATCAACGATCGTTACGACGTACCGATAGATTCTGCTGTCTCTTGTCGCCCATCGTAGCACGTTGTTATTTCATGCAATACTTAATACAAGTTATTAAAAACGAGTTCTTTGCAAGAACTCCTGACGGCAACGCGATCCGACGACACTACTTACTCGCCATCACGAAGCGAGTGCTGCCAATTCCTGTCAATGCTTAGTGCTGCCAATGATGATTCGTGAATGATTCGTCTCCGCTATCATTTGTTCTGATTTGTTCTTCTAACAAGTAGATATAAAAGTGTGGAAAACTACTTTGCGGACACAGTCGGACTATCGTAAATATAAAATTAACGTACCTTCATGTAATAAACTCGGGCTTTGAAAATTCCACTCCCTCCTGGTGGTAAGCAGCAGACAGCAGAGAGAGGGAACAGTGGTTCGGTTTTCAAAACATTGTTAAGTAATATATCTTCATGCTAGCGAACTGTACTTGTTAACGTCAATCAAGAACGATGTGTTGAGAGAGCACGATCTACCACTGTATCTGATCGAGATTAATGAAGCAGCGGCATTTGTTACGACCACGTTTCATCGATCCATCGTCAGCTACGATCCAGAGAGCCGGATAACATGGTTGTACCGAAGGACTTTCATCTCCCGTCGGACGAAGAATTGACCACGCAAGAATTGAACATCGGCTGGCCTTACATTCAAGCCGCTGCTGTGTTCCTCGGAAAACGATGCGAATGGTTCAACAATGTACGTGTTGCCCGTCAATTATCATCGTTCGATTTAACTCGCACAACCTCAAAAGGTTATGTAATCATAACGAGAGAGATCACTGCAGACGATTGATGGTTCCATGATTTTCTACGTACTTCCAGGAGTTCATGTTATGCAGGTACGAGTTAAGGGATCCGCGCAAGTGTCTGAAGGAAGGGAAGGATGTGACGAAGTGCGCGCTCGAAGGGTTACAGGACATCAAGAAACACTGCCGAAAAGAGTTCGAAGCTCACGTAGATTGCGTTATAAATCACGACCCTGTGGTGCTAGATCATGCTAAGTACGTAAGTTCGCTGGAAGTACGGTTCACTTACTTCGGCCGAGGGTCGTAATTACCGTGTGTCATCAGGTGTGCGAAGACCAAGCAAATGTTCGACGAGTGCATGGCAAAGAATTTGAACCTGGAGAGACCACCGTTCGGCTATTTCTGCGAAGCCAAAGTGCACAACACGTCGAGGCCGAAACCACAGAAAGAGAAACGCGAATATCCGGACGCTACGCCGGAACCTGTAGCTCCTCCGTATCCGCCGTCCAAACACGATGGACGCAAAGGTTTTGCAATGTAATTGTTAGCGTCGCTACAAATTTTTGTAGTAAGGATATACCAGAATTTTATTTGAGACCGAATGTTGTCGAGCAGTCTGTTTGTATTTGTTCTGAGTTCGGGAATAAATGCAAGTAAGTGCATGAAGAGTCGAGGAGGTGCTTGATAGGAAAGGGGAACAGGTTCTTCCTAGGTGAAAATAAATTCCAAGGATATTTATGCTTATCAATTTTTTTTTTATTAATAGAACATTCGTTCGTCGTTGCCCCGAAAGAAATCGGGAACGATGATCGACTCGCTTAGTCGATCTCTTCATGCTTCATCGACGCGTTCTTACAAACGATATCACGTAAACGGTTCAATGAATTCGCACCATTTATATTTCGATTCTTTGCTTATATTGTTCGAAAGTAATAAATCACAAAATGCTCCACGTGTTCCCGGAAGTAAGCAAAAGAATAAAATACGAACGTAGCTTACATCGAACTCTCAATTAATCGTACATTGTGTAATATATATATGTATATATATAAACATTATGTACACGATGGAAAGATTTCAGATCGTTCGCGCAACGTAAAGACACGACAAATGACCGAGTGATAGTCCAAACATCTTGGAAGAAGGTAGAAACTTTATAAAACCTATAATAGCACTCTAAATAAAATGGAAGAGAATGTGGGGAAATAAAATTGCTCGAATGATCTGAAGTCTTTCGCCTCAGTCGTTTTACAATTCAGTGTGTACAAACGGTGGGTACGAGTCTCGAGGCACTATGCACGTCTCTCATCACGTAACGATGCTTATTCAAATCTCGCTGAGAAAATTTTCTACACGTAAAATTGCAAGCCTGCTGCACTGCCCGATTAATATCCCGCGTCCAACTCGTAATACTTTTAAATCGACAACACCGTTCGTGTCATGGATTCGTCGTCGTCTTCGACGTAAGTAGAACATTCGTTTGAGTTCCGACGAACGGCTTGGAAGCAATTAGTCGTTTGAGCCGTAGTAACGAAAGAACGTATCGTCGCATCTTCTGTTAGCTCCAAGTTATATCGTAACCGTTCCAGTTCGGGCTAGGTGCCAAGTGTACTCGTCTACCTTTGTAAAAGAATGTCACCACGCCCCGATACCCGGTCCTCGGTACTCCGCTCTGTAAAACACGCGAAATGAGCGATGCGAAATCGTCGGGAATCAATTTGTACACTTACCCGGAAGTCGTCCATCAGTCCAAACTGCTTGGCAGTGTTCTTATACGCTTGCCTCGAATAATACGGAATCCGTACGGCGCCCGATGCTACGACCTTCCCTGTTTTCAATTCCGAGAAACTGACGACCGTCGACTGGTAAACCTCGTTAACGAAATTTATGTCGTAATTATCCTGAAACGTACGTCGCGAATTAATCTTCGATCAGTTTGATGAGCGGGGCTCGTCGAACTCACTTTTAATAAGTAGGTCAGATTCATTTTTGTGAAGTGCACAAACTGCGTGTTCAGTTTGATATACTTCAAATGCCTTTCGTAGAACATCCCACTGGAAATGACGCATCGATCATTATATCCAATCGACATAATTATCACTTATGTACTCACTTGCTCACTCCAGTCTTCCCAAACGTTCTGGTTCGCGATATCTCCGGTCGAATACAGGCTCTGTTTCGACGTTGCTCAGGCTGCCTTATCCAATCGTCCCAGTATCTGTCGACCAAACGAATCGTAGGCATTCTCATGCATTTCGCGAGACTCTTTGATTCCATAATATTTATACTAACGATTTGGGCCATTTCGGCGAGAGTTCGGTCCACAATTCACGCGTCAGCATCCAACCCAGTCCGGGAAAAAAATCTGTCCTATACAATACATGCGCCGCGCTCTCGTCGACCAAACCGGCTTTCCCGTTATCGTTCCATGCCGAGACGCACCACAGGGAATCGTCAGACGCTAGCAAAGGATATGTGCCCAGGAAATACTCAAAAAAATCTGGGGCTATGTCCAAGTCATCTGCAAGACGAATTCCTTTACGATTTGCCGCGACTTCGCGATAGAATCGACTTAGCTACCTTCGACTATTATCACAGTTTCGTATCCAAGCTGAAAGAACATATGATTGAGAGCCCATCCGTAGTGGCGTGCAATTTTGAAATACCCTTTGAACTTCTTCTCCTTCGGAGGTACTTCGATGTCCGATTGATCGGGTTGCTATAGCATAAATTTCGTCGCGTTAATTTCTAATGTCGTTCGAACTAGATACGATGCCGTACCTGAATGTGCATTATTTGATTTCCGTATTTAGCGATAACGTCGGCTGTCTGCCGATGCTGGCAGTCCTCCGAGACGACGATCGGGAATTGCTCCGCGTCGGGCCTGTATTTTATCAATTGATCCAGACATCTTTGTACAGTAATACGATTGCAAGAGAACACCAAAACCGCTATTATCGGAGATCCGTTTGGTAGCTTCCCCTTTGTAGGAACATTGTGAGAGGTCTCGCTCTGTACAGAAACCGGCGAGTCTTTAAACCGCTACTACTATGAACGATCGTAGGATACTTACAGTATGTGCAGGCTCCACTGGAGGCTGCTGCACGTTCTTGTCATCATTCTTCTCTATATCCTTTTCCTCCTTTTCAGGGAGAATCTTATTTTGATTGACATCGCGCGCATTCTCCTGTTTCTGCTCTGCATTCGCGTTTATAGTATCTACGTCTTCTATCGTGAAAGAGAGGAATCAGGCTTAGTCAGAGGTCGTTAAAAAATTTAGTTCAACGTGCAACGACATACTTTTACGTTGCTTATCTTCTTTGATATCTTGCAGTAGTTCTTGATTCAGTGCTATCTCTTGTTTCACTCTCCTCTCCAATTTGCTAATCTGACCGGACACCCGAGCCTGGAAGGCAACAGAGTCACTGTCCGTTTTTATAACGTCGTCTACTCGAACTTACCGTGTCTTTTTCCTTCTCCACCGGTTGATCTGAGATCATGAAGTACGTGATCAGACCCCACAGAACAAGAGAGCCAAAAATAAAAGTGACTGACCTGTTCCGCATGGCAGAACCAGGTGTCACCTCGTCTGAAAGGTTCAAAGTTTACGCTGTCAAACTTGTGACTCCCGTGTCGACATACACATTCGCGTCGTCTAATGGAATAACGGCCGAGGAAGATCGTTACGTAAATAGAATCGTTATCGCCGATAAACGATTATGTGTCTATCGGATTACATACCATTATGATACCCACGTAACTGCTTATCGAACGTCGTTATACGTGGCCGAGCATTTTCTCCTGCGTGAGAGGAAGTCGTCGTCTCACGATCGTATCCTCAGGCAGCCGACGTTCTCACGCTGGAAATCGATGCCCGTGGATGGTCGGTCGTGTCTGATCAGGCTTCTAAATAAAACTGTTGGATCTCACGCGTTGACACCGTGTTGTGAACTCCATCGTTGAGTTACGCGGCAGACGCGGACGAAATCTGTTCGGGAGTCGGGAGGGGAACTATTGCCAATTGCTCTCCCTTGGGAATACCGTCGGACGTTCCCGGCCGTCCGATGGAGCCACGTTGTACATTTTCGAGGCGCCACTGATTTAATAGAATTATTTAAATTCGTTCTCTGGCCTCTGAGACGTGGCCCGGATTCCTATTAACGAAACATCGTCAAAACTTTTCTATCGTGATCATATTTAAACAGTTGGTCGTTTCATATTTAAACAGTTGATCAGGCAGAGAATCGTCGAGCTTTTAATTATTTAATTTATATAAAAAATCCGTAGACTATACTCTTCCAAGAATTTATTTCTTCAATCTGTTATTATGAATTTCGGCATAAGGTATCTTCGAAAAATTCGAAGGAACATTTACATGTGTTAGTAAATCCCAAGAAGGTCTATGAACTCCACCTGTCCTAGCGTACATAGAGGTTAAGTTTCTCTCGTCTCTCCCAGTCTTTCTGTTTGTCTTAAGAATGTCAGACGACGAGAAACCAGAAGTTTCTACGAAAGACACGCGAATTCCGTGTAGATACGGGGCTAAATGTTATCAGAAGAATCCGGTTCATCATCAGAAGTATAAACATCTTCCAGCAACAAACGCGGTACATGTCTTTCATTCTTCAACTTTTTTTGGAGAACCCGCGTTTTTCCTCTTTTGTTTTGTTCAAATTGGTGTTTGAAAATTTGTAGAAAATCGGGAGAGGCGCGAAACGTACGGTGTTGAATAAGAAAAGGAAAAAGACGAGCAAAGATCGAACGGAGAACGAGTCTCCGCAGAAGAAAGTACAGAAAACAGAGAATGGAACGGACGACGAGGCAGAAAGTGTTCCGGTCGTAAATAATATTGACGAGAACAATGACGTCGAGGAATCGAAAAGTTCCGAATCCGAGGAGCACGAAATTAAAGATTCGAGCGAGCTGGTCACCGTCTCGTCATTATTAGGTGACGTCGCCATTGAATCCGATAAAATATCTCTGGCCGAAGCGCAGCCAGTTATTTCTCATTTATTCCTCGTCCAAATGCCAGACGATTTCTTTCAATTTTACGAGTTCTGTCAGAGTATCTCGGAGAAGAATCCTCTGAACGTATTGAATGATTTTCACTTGCAATTAGTGGGACCGTTCGACGTGTTCAGAGAAACGTTCTTAGAGGCCAAAGTAGAGGATAAGCAGGCATTGTTAAGGCACTGGAGGTATTACTATGACCCTCCAGAGTTTCAAGTAAGGGTCTTGTATAGTCGTTGAGTTAGTCGTTAAGACAGTCGTGGTCATTATTCTAATATTTTCTACAGACCATTATCAGAGATAATGGCAAGGACGGTTTGCATTACGGGTACTGGAGGGATGATAGTTCTGAGAAGCCTGTATTCGTAGCAAAGAACAAGGCGGCCATAAATTGCACCATCGAATCTGTAGCAGAGAACATATTTGGTACGCTGAAGTAAGTGTCTGGAATACGAGTATGTCGAGAATTAGGACAGAGTCACAATTGCCTGTTTCTATTACAGTGAGCACATCGGAGACAAATTAAAGTTAGCTTCCCCGTTCGAGAAACCTCGCATTTCAAAATTCTTACAAAGATTAAAGAACTTCGCTAAGGAAAAGAATATCAGTTTGGAGAAAAAGACCGCCGGTATGCAGGCTAGGGAAAAGAAGGTCGTCGCGAGAACTTTCCACAAAGGTGGTATCGTGGTCCCTTACGATAAAAAGACTCAGTTAGGGTACAGGGACCTGACCGTGACCGACAACGAGTTACAGAAACTTTTGAAACAGATCGAACATCCTCCTACGCCGGAGGCTAGGAAAACGCCGATTTCCAAATTGGAAGAAGTGATCAGATTAGCAACCATCGCCGCCGACGAATGCGACTTCGGCACCGTTTTAGAACTCGGTCACGATCTCTTTTCCAGCGGCGTTTCTCACGTTCAAACGAGAGCTCTAAATTTACTTTCCCTCGCCTACGGTCTCCTACAAAGACCGGAATTCCAGGAGATCGCCAGGGCCCATTTAAAGAATCGTCGTAAAAGTTTGGAACCGAGCGTTCTCCAATTCGAACAATAAAGAAGTAGGGATCGACAAAAATCAATTACACTTTTTTAATTTTGCGAATAAATATTTATTATTATCTTTGTACTTCGACGATTTTATTTCGATACACGCGCGATTCATCGTCGCTGTCTCGATCGTTCGTCGGATCGAGTCCGCGTTACACGATGCGCGAATGTGTCACGGCTGGTCACGGTGACAAATGCGTCCTCAAGGACTCGCATTTTCCGTTGCAACGATGAGGAGCGGTCCGTGAAGCGACGACGAAAAACCGCGAAGAGAATCGTTCAGGATGGTCCGAAAGGGGAGTTGTGCGGTGATTCCGTTCGGGATCGTCTCGTGAACATTTTGACGCGACCGCGGGAACGTCTTGCCCTCGATTCACGATGATGATACTCTGATCCACACTCGATTCGCGCGGTCGGCAATGGAATTAACGGGGACCCGATACTAATAACTGCAATAGTGGAATCGTGGATAAATCGGATTTTCAGTTTCTATGGTTCTGGCTCGCGTGAATCAACGGCAATCGTACAAACGTTCTCGATGGAAAGCAAAAGCTGCAACAATTTCATAAGCTACGTAGGCTTAGAGGAGCACGAGCTGCAGGTAAATTTCTTACGCTCGGCCATAACCTAAATCAGTGGTAGATAGAACGGTGGAAATAATCAGCGAGCGATTGCTCATACGGTTTTTCCACTTTCTTATCGTAATGGTAGTTTCATGAATTATGCGCAGCCGCTGGGTTCTAGTCGACGCAATTCTTTATGCGATAACAATATTAAGTTGTTACCCGGTGAAGCATTGATCACCAAAGCTCAACGCGTTCTTATGTTCTCGCCCGTCGGCGATCAAAATCAAGGAACGTCCGGCGTTCTGTTCGTCACCAATTTTAAGCTCAGTTTCGTTACGACCGAGGAGACGGATGGCGAAGTAAGTATCTCGCGCCAACTCCCGGTGCTCGCATGCTAACAGTCAAACGACGATTGTGTACAGGACGTGGCTCGTCAACAGAATCATCTTTACGGCTATATGGACACGTGTTTAACGAACATAGAGGATATATACGTGACCGTTGGCGATAAGAGAAGGAAATTGGTACCTGGCAATACTGTACCGTCTAAAGTGAAAGGAATATTTATTACTTGTAAAGTAATTGTTCTCCGTTCGTTGTTTATCGATCATATTCTCGTTCGTTGTCCCCGTTCTCATCGAGGTTGTGGGTTTTAGAATTTACGAACGTGGTCCTTCTCCTTCAAATTCTCACCCATCGGCGACGGAAAGAACGTCCTCCAGACATTGTTGCACCATGCCTTCCCCAGTGGGCACAATCTGTTGTTCGGTTACGATTACCGGTCAGTATGTAACGCTTCGAGCATTGTGATTCGTGCAGATTCGTTGCAACCTTTCCGTTTCCGTTTCTCGTTTCAGAGAAGCTTACTACAGTAGTCTTGACAAAGGCGTCCGTTTGTTTCGCGACATTTCCGACTGGCAGAACGAGTTGGAACGAACTGTTCGTAATGAGAAGCTGAGGAAATCTTGGAGACTGTCCATCGCGAACGTAGATTTCAAGCTCTGTAGTAGGTAAATATCGCGGGTTCGAAGCGGGTTCAGGGTTTAACATCGTGTTTTGCTCGCCAGCTTGTCTCGATACGTGATCGTGCCAGACTCTGTCACCGATAATCAGCTGATGGATGCAGCTAAATGCTTTCAAGGGAACCGTCCACCGATCTGGTCTTGGTCGAGCTCGCGCGGCGCCGCGTTGGTCAAGATGTCCGAGCTCTCGCCGTTGGTCACCAACAGGAAACAGGAGAACGTCATGTTCGAGAACGTGCGAAAAAGTCATCCACAGAAGATGCAGCCGTTCGTCTTAGAGCTGAACAAAGGTATCAACGCGAAATTGATAGCCGCGGCGTTCTCGAAATTCGCCGTCCTCTGTTGTCCAGGTATTTTGATTCGCGCTCACCCAACCGCGTCGATTCGGCCGCGTGCTAAATCGTCTGCCCGCGATCGTTTCAGAGAACATCAGGCAGTTCTGGCTACAGGACAATAATTTTTACTCGCTGTTGGAAAACACGAAATGGTTGAAATATGTATCGTACTGTTTACAAAAAGCTGTTGAAGCCTGCGAGCATCTTCACTCAGGATCCTCCGTTATATTACAAGGTATTTACAATTCCATCGACACCCGTTCCCTCTTTACTTCCGTTACGATGTAGGACTGGTTTTTAGAAGGTGCTGGCACGGATCTCTGTTGTGTTATATCGAGCTTAGTCCAATTGTTGATGGATCCTTATTTTCGAACTATCAACGGGTTCCAGTCCCTTTTACAAAAGGAATGGATCGCCGGTGGTCATCCGTTTTGTGATAGATTAGGACATATTGCGCAGAGAACTTCGGAGAAGGTACGTCGTTCGACTTCTCTTAACTCCTCGTATTTGAACGCTATCATTGTTACTCGCGCAGTCTCCGGTGTTCCTGTTATACCTCGATTGCGTCTGGCAATTGATTCAACAATTTCCGGCGGAAGTCGAGTTCACGGAAACGTACCTGACAACTCTATGGGACGCCGCTCACGTTTCCATCTTCGACACGTTCGTCTTCAACTGCGAGAAAGATCGATCCGCGGCAGCTACGGTGAGTATCGAATCTTCAACGTTCGATTCCACCGTTCTTAGACACGTTAACGTTTTACGAACGTCTCAGGACCCGGAGAAGCCTTTCGTCCTGCGTAGCGTCTGGGACTGGCGAGAGCAGTTCAGCGACCAGGATATTTTATTGTTCTACAATCCCTTCTACAATTCGCGGGACGCGACGGACAAGGGCATGCTGAAACCTCTGTACAGCATACCGACCCTCGAGCTCTGGACCCAGTGCTACTTCCGGTGGATACCGACGCTGGAGATTCGCAACGGCGGACGGAACCACATCGAGCTCTACGCGAGGCTGTTGAGGAACGACGTGAATCAACTGAAGATGTGTCTGAACGGCAACTGCGGCTCGCCCACGATCAAATCCAACAGTTACTCCGTGCCTATGAACATAGATAGTTTCTACCCGTTCTCCAGCAAGAAGTCGGGGAACACGGTGAGTGCACCCATTATGAACAGTTCTATTCTCGCCACGGAGAGCTTGCTAGAAGCGCAGTCGTTGATCACTGCGGCCGACTGATGTACATATCTCACTGAACGCTTGCTTTACCTTCTCCGAGATGCACCCATGCATCCATACGAGTATCGCCGTGGTTATTAGATATATAACGAAGTACGATCTCAGTCCTTTCTATACCGCGCGCGCGGTCTTTGTACGATGATCGCCAATTAATTTGCAATAAGAAAAATTGTTATCTTCTCCCGTTTACATTATACGCGCATGTTCTCTGTTTTTACGCTACGTAGTACTTCGTATAGACGAATCTGACTCAGATCAATTATTCTTGATCCTTGTTCCGTTTACCCCTTCTTTATCTGGTTCTCTATCGATTAAGCGTCTTCGCATCGAATCGTACGTTAAGTTATACAAAGATTTCCTTTTTATATAACTTTGTAAATGCATTATCGCATGTTCGAGTTAAGGAACAATGATATTTAATAACACGGTGATGTTATAACTTATATTATAATAAAATTATTTTTTCTATATAAGATACTTATTATTCTCGCATCCCTTGCCTCTTACAATGTATTAGAACTATGAATAAAGATTACAGTTACATTTAATCGAGCGTTCTTTATTTCTATACGCCCCCCCATATTAGAATTACATCATTTCATTTCGTATCAGGAAGAACATAAAGTGGTAATTATTTATGACTACCTCCTATCATCTTATATTCTCCTGATACAAAGTAAAATTTTCGATCAAACTCCTTCTCTCTGAGAATTCTTGGAAATGACGTCATCACCAGGAGTTAGTGCTACCTCCTACCACATCATATTCTCCTAATACAAAGTCCAATTTCGGGCAAAAATTTTTCCTGTTCGATTGATGACGTCATAGCATACCTCCTCCCAACTTATATTCTCCTGATACAAAGTGAAATTTTCGACAAAATATTTTCTCTTTGAGAATTCTTGGAAGTGACGTCATCACCAGGAGTTAGTGCTACCTCCTACCATATCATATTCTCCTAATACAAAGTCCAATTTCGGGCAAAAATTTTTGCTATCCGGGAATTCTTGGAAATGACGTCATCACCAGGAGTTAGTGCTACCTCCTATCATATCATATTCTCCTAATACAAAGTCCAAATTCGGGCAAAATTTTTCTCCAGAATTTCACTTTGTATTAGGAGAATATAAAGTGATAGGAGGTAGCATTAAATTAGTTAGTGGTACCTCCTATCATCTTATGTTCTCCTAATACAAAGTGAAATTTCCGACAAAATTTTAGCCCGAATTTGGACTTTGTATTAGGAGAATATAATGTGATAGGAGGTAGCACTAACTCCTGTTGATGACGTCATTTCCAAGAATTCTCGAAATTAAAATTTTTCGTCTAAAATTTTACTTTGTATCAGGAGAATATAATGTGATAGGAGGTAGCACTAACTCCTGTTGATGACGTCATTTCCAAGAATTCTCGAAATTACAAATTTTTGTCTAAAATTGAACTTTGTATCAGGAGAATATAATGTGATAGGAGGTAGCACTAACTCCTACTGATGACGTCATTTCCAAGAATTGTCAAAGAGAAAAATTTTTGTCGAAAATTTCACTTTGTATCAGAAGAATATAATATGGTAGGAGGTAGCACTAACTCCTGCTGTGACGTCACGATTCCAAGAATTCTTAAAATTCCGATTCCACTAAATTTCTACTTATACTAAGTGAAGATGACATGGAGAAGGGATTGGATGTAGGCAGATTTAAAGGTAAGTAACGAGGAGTTTGAATTGCATTTAAACTATCTCTTTATTAATTAAAACTTAAAAAAACATACAATAATTTACAAAGAGGATTGCATAAGGCTACTTAGAAATTCAACACTAATGCCGTAAGACTTGCAGGGGGTTGTCTTCATTATTTAGAGAAGCCCTGATTAAAAGATATCTGGAATAAACGAAAAAGAATGTTAAAATCATGTAAGACAATAATATGGTGAGTGAGAGAGAAATGCAAGACGGTATTGCTACTCCACTACGTTGAAATCGGTAGAGGTACAGAGAGAGAGAGAGAGAGAGAGAGAGAAAGAGAGAGACAAAATTCAAAATGAGTGTTAATAAGTGTTCGTCTTATCTTTTCAATGCTCGATCAGGCGTTTATAGAATTGTGGTCATTACTGTTTGACACGTCAAAATAAAAACAATTGTAACCTACGTCTGGATAAATAGTTACCGNATAGAAATTGTAGATCTCGTCGTGCTCTACAAGAAAGGTCGTATGCAATTTTCCCGTATCTCCAAGGGTTTAGGAGTTATTGAAAAAAAACGAAATTTTTTGTCAAAAGCGAAAGTGCTTGGCTCCAATATTGCTGCACCAGTGAAAAAGACGGGTTCGCAGCCGTGAACGCTGGATGGCGCCACGATGAACTCCAAAATCATTTGAGGTATGTGTAATTGCACACCAGTTAGGAAAGCAAGAGCTCATTGAGCTCCTGACATAAGATAAGGGTTATGTCGATCGCTATGTAACATCATTAATTAAATAACTAATCGTACAATAGGAAGTGAATGTAAATGGAACAGGAAGGAACATGTGAAATATATTTAATACATAGATAGCTCTTTCGTGACCAAGTTATTTCACGAGGAAGCATTTAACCTACTGTATAACCTACGTGATCTGTTACGATTAAGAGTAGTGAACAATGCCAGTTTTTCAAGAATCATGTGCCGAGGTATAATACATTAATCCTTAATTCTATACCCGCCGCGTAACAACATTAAAATCTGTTTAAGCAAATACAAGCACAAACGATAGTGATAATTCATCCTGGATCGATGTACCTGAGAATGGGGAGAGCGTCGGACTTGAATCCCTGCACGATACTGAACGCCGTCGCCAGAAGACGCTTGCCCGGTGGACTCGAATACAAAGACAGTTTGTTGCCTCCCGCGATACCACGAGTAATTATTTCATTTACGGAATTACGCTTACGGAACGACGTTTTACTCCTCGACTGTTCTTAGTAGACGAAAGAACTTACACAAGCAATGGAGGAATCGCGACTGCAGGTATCTCACACGTTGCAGTCTTGCCTTCAGTCCGACGGAAGACGAAGATACGCGACACCGCCGCAACAGATAGCCGCTTTCAACCGTAGATCGAACGCGGAGATATCTTCGCCTTGCAGCGTCGAATGGATAAAGACTGACAAAGATGTCGTCGTCGGAGACGATGTGCTGTCGTTGAATCCGGAGGACAACTTCAACGTTCATTTTCCATACAGGAGAGGAGAACTGAACGTGCACTCTGGTCCCGGTGGAAGCCTGCGATCGGTCATGGCCGATTTGAAAACCATCTGGGAATACGTCCTCACAGAGAAGATGGACATTCCTCTGAGAGACTTGAAACACTACCGAGCCGTTCTTATAATTCCAGACATTTACAACCGACAGTATTTGAAAGAACTTACTACGTTGATGCTCTGCGAGGTCGGATTCGGCGCTTGTTTCCTACTGCAGGTTGGTAAATACGTTCGTCGAAGAAGATGCACCGTGTCACTAATCACCCGTCGTAGGATCACGTAGCGGCGACGTTCGGAGCGGGCTTAGGGTTCGCGTGCGTGGTCGACGTCGGAGACCAGAAGACTTCGGTCTCCTGCGTGGAGGACGGGATCTCTCATCGGAACACCCGGGTGCGAATGGATTACGGCGGCGGAGACATTACCCAGACGTTCTTCTGGTTACTGCAGAAATGTGCATTCCCGTACAAGAGCTGCGACCCTTACAACAAGCTGGACGCCTTACTCTTGAATCAACTGAAGAAGGACTTCTGTCACGTCGATTTGAACATATGCGGATCGCAGGAGAAGACATTCGTGGTTCGGAAACCGAAGCAGCAGACCGAGAAGTATACCATTCAAGTCGGCGACGAATGCCTGGTGGCGCCGTTGAGCCTGTTCCAGCCCGAATTGTTCAAAGTGTCCGGTACGCACAGCGTACACATACAAAAGAGGTCGATGGGAGACCCGGAAGATCCTCACGACGAGAACTACTTGCGAGAGACAAGTGTAAGAGAATTTTATGCGGGAAGGCGGCCAGGTGCGAACAATTCTCTGTTTCTTCTTTCAGAGGAGAGGCATGAAGGAGAACCTGGAACAAACATCTGAGCTGCAAGAAGAAGCGAGTGCTCCTATCGTGACGGGAGAAGAGGAAGTGGTCGTGGACGCGGTGGATTCCGCGCCGATCGCTCTGTCGAATCGGGATCTGGACGCTCCGCGAGATTTCGTGGTCGGTCCCCAACAGTTGCTGGGTCTCGACCACGCCGTGCTTCAGAGCATCGATCGATGTCGTAAGTATATTACTGATCGATCAAACGAACGAACGCCATCGAGACACTTTTATGTTCAGCTACGGAGGATTTGAAGAGGAAAATGTACAGCTGCGTACTTGTCGTTGGATCGGGTATGAAGTTTCAAGGAATAGGAATGTGGCTGCACAACCGAATTTCTCTTCAAATTCCGTACATGTACAGGGCCGGTAAGTTTTCGCAAGAGTGATCACGATCGCGCGGGTACAATATATTTATTTCTGTACAGAACAATTGGATATCATAACGCAACCGAAGGAAATGGATCCCGGAATGACAGCGTGGAAAGGAGCCGCGATCTTGAGTTGTTTGGAGTCGGCACAAGAATTATGGATCGGGAGGCAAGAGTGGGAACGCACCGGTGTCAGAGTATTGAGAGAAAGAGCACCGTTCATGTGGTAAACGCGTCGGTAGACTTACAATTGTCATTGATTCACACGTCATCCAAAGCATCTCATACACTTTTGTATTACGTAGATTTAAACGATCGAAAATAAAGATTTACTTTGTAAACATTTACCTGTGTGTTTCTTTACAACATCTCCATCAGCCGAATTTTACTTCGATCGTTCCTGTGATACACGGCTATTTCGGCACTGGTCAGATAATTTATGTAGGCTAAAGTGTAGGGAGTAACGTCCACGTATACGTTGTCACCGCCTTTCAAGTACGCCCTCGTTAAATCCTACAAATTCATGAACCACCTGTCGTCCGATGTTCTCAGCTATCGATTAATTTCTAACACTCCCGATGCTTACCGCCAAGAGGTTTTCGAAATCCAGATTGTCGGGGAACACCGCTTCCACTACGCTGCGCTAAAGATTTAAGGAACGATCGTGACCGAGTTCAAACGTGTACGCTTTTTTATTTTAAAGTTACGAATAATTTTATCGTACCAAGTCGGATTTCACATGATGATAGATGCGCGATGCCGTGGCGCGTTCTTTAGCGTACGTCGCGGTCTCTAGCGTCACGACGCGGTTTAAATGAGCCTCCTTCATTTTGGCCAAACCCAGTTTCTTTGCTTCCAAACTGAGACAGAAAGTAACGATACTCTCATGAAATAAAAGAGAAACTGCTAAGAACGAATACTGTACTCACCGAGACACGTCCTCTTTAACGTCCGAAAGTTCTGCCTTCAACGCGTCGAGAAGTTTTTGAGCGTTCTTGATCTCGTCGTTGAGTTCCTTCAGAACTTTGTGGACACGTAACTCTTGGGAATCGGGAAGGGAATAATCTTTCGGTTGCTCGCAAATGAACGTACTCGCTAGAATCTCGCACAATTGATGCTGCTTCCTCCTCACGTCCTCTGGGCTGCAATTGTCGTCCAGAGGAATCGGATTATTGTTCACGATGAAAGCCGTCACGTCAAGCACTTCCTTCTCCCGCTCCATTACAGATATTTCCAGGTTTTCGAGATCACGTTTGCAGTCTTCGTCCATGTTTAAATATTTCACGAACGCGACCGACGTCGACCAACGTCGACTGATTCCAACAGCGGAATGGAACGTTACTTGTCTCTAAACTGGCGGGAAAGCGAGTACAGTGGGGACAAACTTTACGACGTCCTGATTGGCACGCTCCGATCTCGTTCGTGCCATGCGCTTAGATCTCGACGGCTTGACGTCTCGTGCCCGACTGCCCCGACTGTGGGGCGAATCGTTTGGAGGTGGTAGAGGTTAAGTTAATTTCGACGAACGAAACATGATGTCCAGTCGAGTAAATTTCGCTTTACGTCGGTTTTATAAGAGAGCGACCTGGGACTGTCGCCCGTGTTCAACGGCATCGGGGGCGAGTAAGTAGAACGAGATTCTCTTTCATCTCGTTCTTGATCGTGTCTCTCGTTGTCCGCAGCGAACGAGAGGGATCCGGCGCCTATATTCTTCGACCGATACGTGCAGCAGTTGCTCACCACGCTGACTCGTATTGATTACCGAAAAGTGTTCGCCGCTCGCAAAGACGGGACGAAGTTGGATGTGCCGACAATGAAGTTCATGACGGACGAGGAACTGGAAAAGGCACGGGCCGAGATCGAGAAGAAAGCGAAGGGACGGATACAAATGCCGCCGTACGTGAAAGCTCGATCGGACCAGGTTCAACTGATCTCCGACGAACCAGCAGTGCAAGGCTACTCGGAACAGAACTTTGTGTTCACAGACATATCTTTCGGGAGCAATAACAGAGAGAGATTGATCGTGGTCCGAGAGGCGAACGGTATACTGAGACGCGCGAACACCTTTGAGAGACACAGGATGAACCAGACGTATTTTCCTATCGAGGGCAGAGAGATACACCATCCACAGATGTTTTTCAGCCCGTACATTGACGTAAGTATTTGTTATATTCTAATACTACTTACGACGTCGTAGACTAAAGCGACCGATCGTTTACAGGAATTACTGGACAAGGGAGAGTTCGAGTTTATCTTGGATCGAGCCTGTTTGCAGTTCGAACCGGACGATCCGGAATACCAGAGGGTCACGAAACTCGTGTACTCGTACGTGAACAAGCTGAATAAGTTCGACGTGTTGCGATCCACGAGGCACTTCGGTCCGCTCGCGTTTCACCTCGCTTGGGAAGACAATATTCACACGCTGCTGTTGGACCTGATTCGTAACGAGGCTATAGACGAAGCAGCGGCATTGGTCCGGTTGTATCACAGGGCTCATCCGGAGGCGAAGTCGGCCGCTCAGCCAACGCCCGACAATTTGGAAACGATAAGGCAATACGCGGTGCTAGATGCCCCGGATAGGCTGTCGATCACGCGCTCCTTGGACATATACGAAAGGATATATGCGGAGAGGCAGAAGATAGAAGAAGGGCTGCAAAAGGCCCACGGGATAGACGAAGACGGGGGCGAAGAACCTAAAACGTGAACGGACTTGACTCTATGTACAAATGTTTGTTAATAAATAATAATAATATACATACCGACCGCACCGTTTCGATGATTATTAATCGATTATTTTATTACGTGATAGTTACTTACAAACATTTACAAATGTAACAAGTCAATTCGATTTGGCGTACAGGATCGTCGGAAAACATTACATATCGATTATAGGCTAACGTTCGGGAGAGAAAACTGAATCGGTAGGTCCCATGGTAGACAGCTGTGTTCGAGGGCCGTCTTCGAGCGAAAACTGTTTTACCCGGGAACGGGATGGCCTCTATGGAACGAGGGATGGAACAAACGAGCCGACGAAGAGAACGGAAGAAGCAGGGGCAGGGGGGCGAAGAGAGTCGGGCGAGAGGATGCGAGGGAAACGGGGGTGTTCGATGGAAAGCAGCTTTGTACAGATGCAAATTATGCGTGTAAGTACCTACTGTCGTGAACAGAACAATATACAGGTTCGATCGTCGGATCGAACGAGAAAGTGCTTGTTCGCTGGAATCGTCTCCTCGATCGTTTCTTTAATGCGTCGATAAAACGCTCGCAACTGAATACTGTGACTCCATGCCTTAATTCGTATTACTCTTATCGTAGTACGTATATTTAATTATTACTTCCATATAGATGCGTTTCGTGATGTACGTAGAAAATAAATAAGAGCGCGATTACGATCGGCGCGTTAACAGACGAGATCCATCCTCTGAGGTCCGCTACCGTGAACGGGCGGATCGGCGGAAAGGGAAACTGCGGCAAATACTGAAGACATACTAACTCGAAAACGAAACGAGAAAAGCACGAATCTAGGTATCGGCTATTAGGCCGCTCGAAGCAAAGTATGCGCGTATCGATTATATGAACGTATCCTGTGATTTCTGTCGAGCGTTGAGTAGCTCCTCTCTTGATTTTCGACGTTTCTCTACGATCCCGATGACAAACGGCAGCGAGGATCTCCCGCTGCCCGAATACGTTTCGATCCGTCTCGCATCCCCGTCCCCTGTCCAGTGGCGATCACGACTGGTCGACGAGGCTGACAGAAAACTTCGGATTCGCGAGTGCGATATGCTCCGCGATTCAACAATTTAATCGGCTAATCGAATCAGCGACGAACGTTCGCGCTCGTCGATCGTGAATTCGTTCCAAGGGCGAGGCGACGTCGTCCGAATGCACCGAAGGGTGCTTCGCGTCGAACGACGGCGTCGAGGAGCTTTCCAAAATGATACGCGCCCTGGAACCGATCAACGGCCGATTAGAAAGCGCCGCATTCACATCTTTTTCCATAAGAATTGAGCAATAATGTTCCTTTCGATCATGCCGTCTCAAGATTCACGTTTCCGCTCGAGCTTTCGTCCCCTCTCCGATCGAAGCTACTTATTTATTTATGTAGAAACACGCACACCTCCTTTCACGCATCGTGACTTACAAGAAATATACTGAGAGAAATGCGCTGTCTGTGCGCTTCCTATGGGAACAGGAAGGACGATCGTTCGTCCTCGAGAATCTCGTCTACGATATTGACGCGTTACTATTATAATTATATCGTTCCACCTGTGGCTCTTCTCTATCTACCTAACTACGTATTCGCATAAATATTCGCTTATATAGAAACTCGTTCTGATACTCGTGTGTGTGTGTGTGTGTGTCTGTGTGTGTCGAATATATAAATTTCTCGTCTCTCCTTCGTAGATATAGTTAAGTGTGTTCATACGTATGTAGGATAATTCGATCAGATCGAGAGCCCGATCATCGCGGGGCTCCTAGGATCTGTCCGCCCGTGTGCAAAGTTCGACGGAGCTCGAGAGGAAAACGCGGGGATAATAAGCGGGCTCGTCGCACGAGACACGCGACCTCCCCTTTTCTTTTTTTGGCACAGTCGATGGTCGCCGCGATCCATCTACCTCTTCCGTTGTCTTCCGGCCAGGAACTCGATTTCCCTTTGGTGGAACGTGTCACCACCACCACCCCTTCCCACGCGCGAATCGCGCGTTCCGAGAGAAAGAGAGAAAGAGCGAGGGAGAGCAGCGTGCGCTTTCCGTTTACGATTATTGATACTATACCGTTATTAATTATGATAGACGATATTATGAATAACGCGTGACTCGCTAAGTCCTCTACTCTACCTTCCAGCCTGCCGCGTTTTTCTCTCGGATCACCCCGAGGAGCGGGTTAACTCGCGAGCACGACCTCCGCGTTCGGAACGAGCAACGACCGGCGTCTCAGTCACAGAATGTCCGTCTCGTAGATCTTGCTGGTGGTAGTGGTCGTCGCCGTACCGCTGGCCGGCGTCGTCGTCGTTGTCGTCGCCGCGACGCTTTGACCACCGTCCGACTCGCTCGAGCCAACGATCGTCGAGTTCTCGTTCGCGACCGACTGCTGTTGTTGCTGCTGTTGCTGCTGCTGTTCGACGTCGTCCAAACGCGTTCGCGTCCCGTCCACCGAGGACTCCTGAGGAACGCCGGGCTTCGCTTGAGCGAGGCTGGTCAGGGATCCCGAACTCGCGGCGCTGAGACCCAAGCCCATCTTGGCCAGCAGATTGCTCTCGGAGCCCGTCTTCTTCAAGAGGTCCGGCGGCGCTGGTGGAACGGTGGTCAGACCCGCGGTGTTCCTCTGCAGCTGTTGGAGCCTCGCGTACTGTTCCTGCAACGCCTTCTGCTTCCGCAACAGTTCTTGATGCCGCTGTTCCAACTGTTCGTGCCTGCCTTTCTTACTCTGCAACCCCTCCTGCGAGTTCACGCTCTCGCAGGAACTCGAGTTACTCGTCGAGAGGACGGCGGAGGACTGGGAGCTGGTAGAATTATTGTGTAGAGCCGGGCTCGCTTCGGAGGCTACGACCTCGGCCGGTAGTGCCATCGGAGGCTTGCCCTCCTTCACGGGAAGGGCTCCGCGAGCCGGTGGCCTCCGCAGCGTAGCGTTGCCCTGCAGCGCGCACGAATGATTCCGGGGTGGTAGCTGAGGACTGGTGGGACTGGCCAACGGTGATCTGGAGCTGGTGCGCGGCGGTGGCGGAGGTGGGACTCGCCTGGCGCTGGCGAGCTGGAGCAACTCCGCGTTCCTCTCCGGGACCGGGGGCTTCTGTCCCGGGACGAATCCCTGCGGCAGCGTGGGCAGACTGGGCTGTTCTTGAAGGGACACCTGCAGTCTCGCTATCGGTGGCGAGGTGTCCGTGTCCGAGCTAGACGGATACGAGTGCAACCTCCGCAAGGTTCCTCCTTGGGTGGACGGTAGCACGGCCGTGTTCGGAACGAGCGTACCCGGAAGGGGTCCGCTCGACGAGTCCACGCTTCCCTTCCTGCCTATGTCGGATATGCACGGCGGTCGGCCACCACCGACCGTCGACGACGCTCCGACAGCCTCTCCCCTGCTCGCCGACCTGCCCAGTTCGGAGATGATCGTCGAGGAGCCCTGCGTGTGGCCCAGCTGCGAGCTCGGCCTCGAGAACGTTTGCAGCTCGTCTAGCAGAGCGTCGAGTGCGTTCTCCGGACGCTGCTGATGGGTGGCGGGTGGCTCGTGAGCGTGGGGCCCTCCCCCGAGGACGCTCGCTGACCCCACGACAGTGCGTTCCGCTGGCACAGGGGCAGCTGCCTGCGTTCGACACGTGGACGACACATCGGTTACATCCTCCTCCGACTTATCCTCGAGTCGTATCTTTCGCTTCCCCTCGTGACTCGTCGCCGAGTGGAAGCTCGCGCGGTCGTCGAAAGTTGCCGTGGGAAAACGAGAACCTCTTAGGCAACTTTCGTCGACGGTACGGCTCGCGGATCGACCGGTCGCTCGGCTAAGGCATGCCAGTAACAGTGGTGAAACATGTGCGCGAGTATGTTCCGCATGCAAGGTGCTGGTGAGGCGATCGAACGGCTGGAGAGCGGTGAGGGTGAGACGTGAATCGAAAATAAAAAATGTGAACGAACGCGCGTGAAGAAAAGCCAGATGCGTCGAGGATGACCGAGAAATACATGAACCGAGGAAGGCGCGAGATCGATCGGACGTGATGCGTCGTCGACGGACGACGGAGCATACGAACTGCGGTGTATGCGATATACACAATCTTTTATGTACGTATTAAACTCCGTTAGATAGTTACCTGCGGTCTGGGGTATTACGTTTTGTGCGTGCGTTGTGCGTGTTACAAGTCAGTACTCGTTTGGGGCTCTTTTACGTTTGGCGTCGACCGTTGTCCGGTATTAGTCAACTTAAAAAAAAAACAGAGAAACCAAAAATGAAAAATCGAGGCTCGTAGCGCCGAGGAGGCGGAAGAAGAGAGAGGGGTGGTAGGGTTCGGCCCCGTTTCCGTCTCGCGGTTCATCATCATCCGTGTAATCTTCGTCGGTCCGTGGTGAGAAGAACGGGAGAGAGCTTCGAGTCTCTCCTCGACGCTCGAATTTTCCCGGTCGCCGAAACAGAATCAAGCATTGGACGCGACATGCAAATATATATATGCCCAGACTACGGATTCGATGCGTTCGCATGAAAATCCGCGGTCTACGAATAACGCTGCTACGTGCACGGTTTTCGCTCGTACAAAACGCAGATATGGACGCATGCCGCATTCCCTTACGTTCTATCGTACACGGAGGAACATGCTCTCGAGGTACACGCGATAGAACGAGTGGTATTATTCTTGGTCGTGAGAGAAAAGAAACACAGGTATATATATATATATATGTACACGATATAAAAATGTTGGCCGACCAAAAAAAGATTACACAGTCAAAAACCTTCGGTCCAATCCTTATAGTAAGGCAGTACATATTTACGAACTCGAGAGAAGTCGAACAGAGTACGTACGTAGTAGAGATAGGCAGAAAAAAGATAGACCAGAGAGAAGAAGATAGACAGAAAGAGAGAGAGAGAGAGAGAGAGAGAGATATAGAGAGAGAGAAAAAGAGCGGAAGGAAGATAAAGAGAAGAGGAACGTGTGTAGACAAAACATATGTATCGTACAAAGTCGAATCGAACCGTTTTTGGGGGAGGGAAACCAAAGAGAATGTCGAGGGTGAAGCGAGGGGGTGCGAGCTGCGAACCAATTCCACAAGAATCGAAAGCGAACGCGAGTGATCTGGATTCGTTTTAATGAATGACGATGATAGAAGGGTTTAAGGATGATGCGATGTAATGGCGTGACGATGATAATAATAATCGAGCGCGACGAATGTCCCAGGTACGACCGACTCAACGAATCGGTCTACCGTGAGTGGCTCGGCGAACGACTCCCCGCCGAGCCGCTCGTAGGATCGTTTAAAATCGTCCTGCGAAGTGTGCCAATTCCAGATGACAACACCGTAATCTCTTCTCTCCCCGCACAGTGAATTTAGCGATTCCGATGCCCAGTGTATACGATGACGTGACGGCGATGATGCGGATGATCGATAAGGGGCGATTCAGGATCGGTCTCCCGATCCCGGGAAATCCAATGTAAACCTTGTGTATCGAAGGGAGAGTGTCACACACCTTACTATAAGAAATGGATTGGAACGAGCGCGTCTGACGGAGGCGAGATCGCGGCTATCTCTGCACTCTCTGGCAGACGTCGTTCGTTCGTCTCGAGCACGGAACGGACAAAAGATAAAACATCGCAGCAAACGTATGCGTCTATGTAGAGAGCGTGTCAAGTTGTTTTAAGTACAAGAGTATGCGTATAACGAGTACGGTGAATGAATATTGACGAGGAGGTACTCTGCGAGAAGGCCGAAAGTGAGAGCGGTCAGCCGCGTAGCGCGTAGCAGAGCCGAGGATTCGTCGTTGCGCGAATTATCGTCAGATCAAAACGAGTCACGTGCGTGTCTTGTCGCCGGTATGACATGAATTATACGCGTCGGATCGGAACAAGCGGCTGGGACGTAGCGGGAGTAAACGATGACAAAGCTCTGTATGCGGTGTCTGGTAAGATGCAAAACGGGGACCCTCTAATTGGATTTATAACGCGGCGATTCGGATCGGGAAATCAGAGGGTCCCCGAGGACGCAGGCGGTGTCCGAGTCGTACGTACAGACCGGCGCTGGTCGAACGAGCCCGCGAAAAAGAGAGAGACAGAGAGAGAGATAGAGGAAGAGTGAATGAGAGAGACACAGAGAATTTCGTACGCGATCATGACCCGAACCTATGCGACGACGATCCCGCCGATTACTCCCTGGGATCTTTTCTTTTTTTCATCTTTAGCACACGGTTTGCCTCGGTCTTTACGGTACGAGAGCGAGAGAGGAATGAGAACGACGGGACGAGTCCTCAGCGAAATGATGGATGAACGATTAGTATGATTTTTGTGCGGCAGACATCATACCGACGAAAACGGAACAAGTATATATATAAAATATATATATAAACACGTGTACACGTTTCGAGGTGGTGGAGGCGTGGGCGTGAACACGTATAAGTGTCTGTATGTTCTGCGTATGCATGTGTGTACGTGTGTATGTGTGTGCGTTGGGTATTGTAGATATATATATATATAGTATATAAAAATAGTACAGAATAATAATGGTAATAATAATAAGGTAGAAATATTAATAATAATAATAATAATAATTAATAATTTATAAATATGAATCAGTAAAAAATTACTCATGACTGGTCTGTACGGCCTCCTTGAAGTTAGTACTCCACTTCCAGTCATACTAAAAAATTAATATCACTTTCACTATTCTGTATCCTGTAACCTGCGTTTTATAGTCCTTATTAAAAAGGAGAATACGGAGACAGACAGAAATACATATGTATACATTTAATATATACGTATATCAAAGTATATATGTATGTATATATATATATATATATATATGAATGTATATATATATATAGAAGAGAGAGACATGTATCTCCTCGGTCTCAGGTCGCTGTGACTGGAGACACAGCTCGATCGTCTCTGCGTAACCCGCGTCGCTTGCGATTCTCGTATTATGTATACAGGACGACGATACACCGAGCGGCGAAACATCGTCATCGTCGTCATCGTCATCATCCGAATTGTTGTCGGCGATCGGAGCTCTCGCTTCGTATCGAGAGAAACACGTCTCTCGCGAACGAGAAAAAAATAAAAAAAGATATGCAAATACATGGGAACGAACGCTCCTCGGTCGCGACGCAGATTTTTCATATACACAGTAGTCTTCTCCTTAACAATTCATCACAACTAACACTGAGAATGATCTGACAAAACGCGGTCGCCGGCGCTCGCGATCGTCCGAGCAGAAATCAATGACAGAGGAAGGAAACAGAGACAGACAGAGACAGACAGACAGAGAGATAGAGATATATATATATAAAAGCTGGAGGTAAATAAAAGAGCGAGAGCGAACTCTCTTCTCGAGGCCCGACGACCGAAGACCGTTTTGTCACATCACGTATGCGTAACGTTGCTAAATGTATAAAAAATATCTATGCTATCGGGATATACAGCAAACACTGAAAATATATTTGGTTGTGGGGTTTGATTCGGGGGTGGAGATTCGGGGGTCCATGTGACACAGAGACGCGAGAGTCGGAGGAAAAAGACTCGAAGAATCGTTTTTTACGGCCGGTCGGCGTATACTGCCCCCGATCCTTCATGTGTCTCGGTCGCGGGATCCGCGTAATGAAAACGAGGAAAAAGGTTTACATCAGATTTCGTGCACGGTTTCGAGAAACTGGTGCAGGGAGACCGAGAGAACACGATTCGATCGATCGATCGACTCGAGAAGCTAACGTCCGATGCCGAAGAGTTCGACGAGAAAGCGGTGCTACAGAACGAGAACGAGAGACACACCATTGCGATTCGTGAGAGGCGAGAGAGAAAAGTCCGATCGTGCGGCGAATCACGATCGAATCGCTCGTCCACACGCTCGACGAGGAGAGCGTGTTCGCGCATCGGTCTCGGAACAGTCCCGCCGATGCACGAAAACGTTTTCACCGGCTGCGTGCGAGATAATGCACCCATCATCAGAGTTATGCGTACCAATGATACACACGGAGGTAAGTACACAGTTCTATGTATACAGATATATAAATATAAATATATATATATACGTATGTGTAGACAAAATTCTATGTCACTCGTGCATGCGCATTTTAGCATAATGAGGATACGGGGTAAGCGGTGGTCGGACTCGACGCGTACGCGGCGTCGCCGCGACGGCGACGTATGTACAACGACCCGCGACACGTCCGTTTATTTCGGTCGGGTCAAAGTGGATCTACCAAGCGTGGATCTGACGCGACTACGAGACGGGATCTCGCGATTTCTTCCCGTTCTTCAAAGACGTTACTCCCTTCGTGCTTCGCGCGCGGTGGTGCGACGCGTCGACGAGAAGCACATTTTCATCTTTCGACGGTGCCGGTGTTCACTCGTTCGAGCAACGCGCGACGAAGGATGGGAACGTATGTACGGACGTGCGTCGACACTCTCGAAAGATCGAACGCGTACTGTCGCCCCGAGTCACGCGCGGACGTTCATCGAGATCGCCGACGAGTCGAATGAACGTTCCATTTTTTTTTCTTCCCTCTCTGAAGGGGGCAGAGATCTTTAAAGCGCGACGAACTGGGACGGGGATCGTCGTGGAACACGGGACGTGAACTTTCCATGCATCGGGCAGTAACCGAGGAAAAGATCGAAACGGGATCGGGTGTCGAACGAGTCGGAGATAGAAACAAATAAACGGATGGATAGACAGAAAAATAGACAGAGAACAGAGAGACGGACAGACAGAGAGAAACCGAAAGAGTAAAAGAAACGGTAGAGACAGTGAGAGACAGAGAGAGAAAGAGTGAGAGAGCGAGCGAGCGAGCGAGCGGGAGAAACTGAACGTTTACCTTGGAATGCTGAGCGGAAGTAGGCGTGATCGGTGGCGTCTCTTCGGCGTCTACGCTCGTCGCCGCGTTTGGTAATCGCTGCTCCTGCACCGACGCCAAGCTGCAACGAAAAGAACGAGACATCCCGTCTTTGAATGAAACGCCTCGCGAAGACGCGAGAAATGGCCAATGAAACAAGCGAGTCGTCTACCGTTTCAACGTCACGAGGGTACTGGTGAGCTTTTTGCAACGCTTCAACGCCGATTCCAGTCGTTCCGGCTCCTCCTTCAGGAACTTCTCCGCCCGCACCACCATCTCCATCTCCGAGCTCAACAGCCCCTTCATGCCCTCCTGAAGACTCGGGAAACGCACCTTCAGATCCGCGACCGTTTTGCTGAAACACCACGGAAAACGTGTACGAGGTCCTCCCTCTCTTCGCCCCGCCGATCCTGCGAGATTCTCTCTCCTACCTCGATTTGCTCATTATCAAGGCCATGTTCTCCACGTCCGACATGTTTACCCTCGTCTTCCTGTTGATGACGTTGCCGCGTAGCTCCTCCACCGTGTTCTCCAGCTCGCTGAAACCGTAAGAGCGCTGTCATCTCCGGGCGAACGAGAACTTACCCGAGGTGAACGAACGCGACACACGTACGTCAGATCTTTTACCAGCCTCAGCATCTCCTGCCTGTAGAGGTCTTCCTCGCGGGTCAGTCGAATCTTCTCCGCGTCCCAGGCGGCGTCCCCGCACGACAGTAACATCGTCCTGAAACGTGCACCGGTTAAACGAGTCCATTGCACGAGTCCTCCTCGCCGCGTACCTGATAGTGATGAACGTGTCCAGGATGGTCTCTCGTATGGTGTGCGCCTGAGCCTGGGACATGCGTCTGAGGTGCCTCACTTCTTGCCTGAGGTCCTTTGCCTTCTTCTGGAGCCCTCGCAACTGATTGTACATCTCTGGCGTCAGCGCCAAGTCCCGGTAGACGTATTGGCCGGCCACGAGCGCGGCCGGCTTCGGCGGCGGCGTAGGCTTGTGCCTGTCTCTCTCTGTAACCATCGATCCGATCCACCGTCAGCCACCCTTCCTCGATCGTGGCGCGATCGCGTATCGCGATGATCGCGTACACGCAATGGAAAAAGCGTCGGGATCCACCGTCCGTTGAACCGTGCGAAAATCGTCCATCTTCGAAGGATCTACTGGCTCGCTCGGTCGGAAGAAGAGATCGGACGATTCGAGGGTGGCAACGATTCCGACAGACAACGCGTTTCGCACGATCAAAGGGCGGGTAGGAACGTGTGCGCGGGGGGAGAGAACGCGTACGATTATGCCGTCGCTCCGTCTTTATCGGCTCGTGGGGAAGGAAGAAGCGAACGGACGGGAACGACGTATCGTGGACGATCGATGATCATGCGACTATACGTTCTACATATAGGACACACCGTTTTACCTCCGAGTCATCCTCTCGAGTCCCAGAGTAATCTCCCGGCTATAGATACCGAGGAGCGCGCGCGATCGAGCCACGAGCTCGCCTGGGAAACGCGCGATAGTTACCCCCTGTAATTCCGCCGTAGCGTTTTAAACAACGATCGACGCTCGTCTCCGAGGCAGCTCGCATCGAGCGCGCGCGCGCGCGCGTTTCTCCCGATTCTGTTCGGGAGTGGCTGGAAGAAGGTCCATTTTCACGAACACGGTGAGAACAAACACGTATTGGAAACAACGGTACCTGGTAGATTAAGACACATAACTGCGGACCAAAAACCGAACGAAACGAACAAAGGATCGAACGAGGAGCAGAGAGAAAGACAGAGAGAGGATCGTTATTGTGAGAACGAGCGATCCAGGTTGTAATCGCACAGTAAATAACAAACGGAGACACATAGGGGGTGGTGGTAAGCGTAAAAACACGGAACAACTTTTACCTTGCGAAGACATCCTCGGCAACGTTGAGGATTTGATCGCCGGTTTCGTTGGTTTTGTGTCCGCTACTCGTGGATGGAAGGCATAGGCATTGCACGAGAAGTCGTTAGAGATTATTGCGTTAGTATCGATCAATCGGGCGATCAGCTCTCCCGGATACGTCTCATCTCCTTCGACGGAGGGAACAGAAAGAACAACGGTGGAGCCCGCGATATCGATTCGCGATTACAGACCCGTGACAATGGATCGGGCGTCGGCCGATTTCCTCTGGCGATCGACTCCCGGTTCGACTCCACGCTCCACCATTTTTCTTCCTTTCCCGTTCGTTTCTCGTTGCTCAAGACAGAGTTTGTCAGATCCGAGAGGAGCGTGCTCGCAGAAATAGTAATCGCGAGAGCGTAGAACAGGTGTAAAGACGTCGTGGTGGTTACCTGCGTGCTGCGGGGAATGCTGCTTCGGCGAGTTCATGTCTGGCGGCTCGTCACTGAAGGACACTGACTTTTCAAACGACACCGACTTGTCTGGAATAGAGGATGATCAGCAATGTTTCTTTTCGTGACCTCGTGCCGCGATTCGCTAACGATTCTCAACGAAACAGTGCAAACGTGCCGAGCCGAGCAAGTATATACGCCGGTGAATGCGTACTGTGCGTAAGAACGAAAAGAACGAGTGCAGATATTCGCAAAGTAAACCGGAGGAAATTCGGTGAGAAGATTGGTGAACGAAATATGCCGTTAGACGAAGAGATAATTAGAAATAAAAAACAGAGAAGAATAGATAGACAGACGGAAGGGAGGCGAGTGCGTGTGTGCCGGCGGGAAGTGGGAGAAAGCGCGTGCAGTGATCGTTGCGATAGCTGCAGAAAAATAAAAACGACGCGAGACGGTGCAGAGGCGATATGAGGGGAAACGTGTAAAATTGATCTATTGCATGAACCGCACCTTTGCCTAACTTTGGTGGTTTAACGTCGGTCCTTAAGTACGAGTCATCTGTAACGGCAGGTTGAGACACTTGAATTTTACAAAGGAGAACCGTTTTAATCACACTGGTCAAACGTAGGCCACTATCGTAAAATGTGTAAGTAATATAATATAGTAGTAATAACAGTAATAATAAGTAGCAGTAATAGCAGCAACGATAGATCAATAATAATAAGAACAACGTGTAAGAATGCACTTGTATCGTTTAAACGTAACGCAGTAACAGAGTACAATAATGAACTATGTATAGTATAACAGCGGTCACAGTGATTCGAAGGAAATTAAAAAAAAAAATAAAATAGAAGACAGAAGAGAAGAATGAAGAAGACACACCTGGCAATGAGGCAGAGCTGGAGCTAGAGTGTTTGTCGAACTCGTCCCCGGCGCCTGGTGTGTGCGTCAGTCGGAATAACAAAGCAGTTGTACAGCAGGGTTCGAGGATGATCGAACGCCAAGTTATAACGCGTGGCAGTGGTAGCTCGCGGTTCCGCTCCTCCGCGTTCTTCTCGACTTCCCGTCTCGTCTCGTCCGACCGAGAAACGACCGTGTGTACGTCCGCGTCGTACCACTGCCAGCGCATAACTCGCGGCGTGCTTCGTCGATTTTAATCTAGTCGAGCCGCGGACGCGAATTCGACTCGATGAAGTGACAGAAAACAGCAAAGAGTCCGAGAAAGGGTGAACTCGCGACGGGTCGGACGAACGTTCGCGGGTGCAGGCCGTCTGAGCGTCGCGGAACGATGAATCGGTCGTCAGCTAACGCTTCTACGTGCGTCTGACGCGAGTGCGACGAAAGATCGTGATCGAAACGTAAACGAAATGCGATCGGAGACGCCGCGTTCGCGTCGACGAGTCGCGAGCCTCGCCGAGGCGAATTCGGAGTGGCCGAAACTCAAGAGACTATCAACTCAAACGTGACAACATGGGGCGAAGAGAGAATTCTACGCGGAAACCAAGGGACAGAGTTCCGTTCAGGCGGTGGAGAGAAAGAGAGAGAGAGAGAGAGAGAGAGAGTACGCGTGTTCGTTCACGATTCTCAGAACGCTCGCTCGTGGAAACGCGCGAGACGTCGACGGCACGTCGCGACGTTGGATCTCGTTTTCGGTATCGCCCGAGCGTTCTGGGATTCGTGAACGCTGGCATGGTCGACGAGAGAGCAGAGACCGGGGACAGCGCGTATCGACGAGGAAGAACGATGAGTCGATTTGCCCGAATAATAGCGTCAGTCGTTAGAGAGGTCGAAACGTACCTGGTCCTCTCGCGTAGGGATCGCGTCCCGCGGGAACCTGCAAGTAATCCCTGGGCGACGGACTCGTGTGCGGCGCGTGGGTCAGGGCCTTCTGGACCAGCCCCGTCAGGTTCGCCAGTTGCCTCTCCATGTGCTCCACTCTTATCCTGTGGCAACCAACAATCGCGTATCAACGACTCGAGAGAACAGCGACCGCGTCGATCGGTGCTCGTATATTCGATGGTCGCAAATAATAGAAAAAAAATGCTAAATCTATAGTCGAACTGAAACCGATCTCGAACAAGCGTTCCACGTAAGATGCACGTACACTAATTAAAAAAAAATAAAAAATAACTATACGTATATACAACACATCGGTCGACGATGACGATCACCGTCGCGTGCACGACGTCGTGGTATTTATAATACGTTTGAACGGCGTTCCTACGTCGCCTGAGACACAAAAGCGCTCGATACACATTCTCTCTACGATCGCTGGTCGGCATGCTACATTCCATAGATCCGCGCGTATCGCGTACACATACTCGTATACCCGTGACGAACGCGATCCCCGAAAAATGATACGTTCCCGTTATTCATGCACGTCCTTGATCGACGTTCGCCATACGCATGCATTGTACGTGGCGACACGAGCGTTTCGGGGAGAGTACCGATCTTCGTTCTCTGGAGAAAGAGGAGACGCGCGGGTCCGCCCGCGGAACGAGGCGAACCTCCCTCGGGTCAACGGAATCGTCGATCGATGAACTCGTACACCGCGGTCGGTATAAGCTTGCGGGGTATAAATAACCGAAGAGGTGACGGGAACGGGGGAGAGGCTAGCACACTTTTCACTTTCCGTGGTCGTTTCTCTTTCGCGATTCTCCGTTCTCCCGTGACAAATTCGTCGAGGAGCGTATCGGCCACGTATTTTCCCATCTCCCCGTTAACGCTGACCAGAGACTCTATCTATGGACGACGACGCATTCGCAAGCGCATTCGTACACGTAACGCGACCAGACCCGACGCGTCGACGCGCCCCGTTGACGTCGTCTCCTCGGTGAGGAGAACACGTCCGGAAAGGATCGTACACGCGAACCGGGTCTGGCGATCGCGGACGTCTAATTAAAATAGAAGGTAGCTGGGTACCGAGTAGCGTCGTAGCTCTGACCACCGGGTGGCAAGGGTGGCGCTCCTGGAGGAAACGGGGATCGCGGAGGACCGGACGGCGGACGCCCTGGCGGTTTCACACCGTAAAGGCTGTACGATTCCTCCAACAGTTCCGTATCGCTGCACCACCCACAACAGAGACGCGCGTATCCGCGCTATCAGCCATCCACGAGCTCCGACGATCGTCGCGACGACGTTTCGACCGACTACTATTCTTTCCCACCCCCGCGTTCGCGATCGCGCGAGTCAGGTCGCAACGTGTGAAACGTGCAGCAAGAAGATCGTATTTTCGTTCGTCAACGGATTTGAAAATTATTCGTTAAGCGGACGATGGAGTTTCACACGTGGCGAGCTAACGGCTGAGCGAAGGAACGAAAGCGTGCCGTGGATCTCCGGTTACCTGGCTTCCTCGTCGATGACGGGCGTCACGGTGCCCGAGTACTGGGAGTAGTACGGGTCCTCGTAGCTGCTTCCGGCGCTGTAGGGACCCGGGGGGTATCTTCCGGATCCGGAGCCGACACCGCCGCCTCTCTCGGGACTGCTCATATACCCACTTTCCCCGTGCAGACGATCTGTAGAATCGGAATTGGTTAGTGGTGCTTGCGTCGTCGAACGAGCGATCGAGCTACGAGATGATTTCTAGATCGCGAGTTCGACCACGGTCGCTGCTTCGCGCGTATTCGTTGTCATCGATGAAAGGCAGAGAGAGAAAGAGAGAGATAGAGGGTCGTATCGAGCGTGCTTCTTACAGGGTGCACCGAGGAGATAGTTACTAAAGAGTGGCAGTCCCCGTGTAATCGTTGGGACAGCAAACGGGGCCCGAAACACGGACGGTAATTTGTAGCTGATAGCTAGAAATACAACTTTTGTCTTTAGTATATTCCTCCTCGGTGCGGGAAGTCAACGAGTTCTACGAATTTTGCGGTCAAACATTGGGTACGGTAAATCAATCAGGGTCGACGATGCACTCTACTATGCACTGTATGCCACACGGGGAGGGGCGTGCCACGCGATTTTTGACGCTTTTTAGAATATATTTCGATATTTTACGATATTATGAAAAAAAAAAATTTTTCAATTTTTTCGAGATTTTCCAAGGGGTACCCCTTCAAATTTTGCGAAAATTTCGTTTTTTGCTAATAACTTCCAAACNAATAACTCGTAAACTATTGGAGCTAGCGAAGAAATTTTATATGGAAATTGTAGGTCTCGTCGTCCTCTACAAGAAAGGTCTGATGCAATTTTTCCGTATCTTTAAGGGTTTAGAAGTTATTGAGGAAAAACGAAATTTTTTTCCAAAAGTTCGCCGTTTCGACGCTGAGATGGTCGGATTTTGTGAACATCAATAAAACGCCAAATAATCATACGTAACTCGTTAAATATTGAAGTTAGAAGAAAAAATGCATAGAATCTTTCTTGTAGAGGCCGTCAGTGCCTACAACTTCTGTATAATAAAACTTTTCGCCAGCGTCAGTAACTAATTGGATATTTCCCTCTATACTTTTTAGCACGTAGCTATTTACTATTAGCATTATTCTTCCAGCGTCTGATTTCTTTTTAATTATAAGAAATGCGTTTTTCTAAGGTACATAAACTTTTGGGATTGACATCCTTAAATCTAACAGGAACTTCGAAGCCATTCCATTGATCTGCGACCAAACCGCTTTCGTAATCAAACCGTTCCTTGCCTCTCGTGCCCGAGTTTCGTCGCGAATTCCCGACGACCCCTTCCGCAAAAAATATTTTTCTCGATCACTCTTCGATGTAGTGAAGCGACCTGGTGCGAAAAAAACGTGCCCATCGCCGAGACGGAGCAGACCCTCGACCTCCTTTTCTTCTCGCGACCTTTGAACGCGGCGAGTACGCGCGGTAGATCGCGGACGAATCGGGCAGACGCAGAGAGCCGGTCGCGATCGACGAGCGGGATCGACGGTCCGGGGGGAGCAGTGGCGGTTCGACGTTCGTCGGGGGGTTGTTTTAAGGGTACTACTGACCTGCTATACTATAGAGGGAGACCGAGCTGTCTCTAGAGAAGCGAGCCGAGCCCCCGAGACTTCCAAGGGGACTCTTACCGCACTGGTAGCTGCGAAGCGGCTTGGCCGGCGGCACCCCGCCACCTCCTATCCAACCATCCGGAAAAACCAAACAAAAACCAATGTACCCAGGCTGATCCGCGATACTCTTCGCGTTTCCTCCTTGCTGCGACGGTGCGCGACGACCGAATATCTCGCGCGCTTCTTACAGCGCGTCGTAGCAAGGACGCGAAATGGAACGCGCGTTATCGTATCAGGTACAGAGGGATTCGTGCTTGCGTCCGCGAGGGTCGAGAAGCAGTTGGGGTATCGTTCATAAACGAGGGGAGCAGGGGAACGGTCGAGCGTTCATTACTTTACGTTAGTGGCAAGCGAGGGCGGAGGGATTAGTATGCAACGAGAGGTCGGGAGTTCGACCGGGTCGAGAGCCACGACAGCGTGCGGAGAATGCAGCGAGCAAAGGAGATTGTTGGTTCCGATTGGGGTCGGTCAGTCTCCGGCGCATCTCGACGGCGCGGAAGCTGACCGCTGCAAGGAACGAACGCGCGAGTTCGTCGCTGGACGTGGTGCAAGCATGGATCGGTGACGACTACGGTACTCTCTCTGACGCGTGAACCAGGTTTTAATTCGTAGAAAGAGCACCGCACAGGCATGGAAGCGAGAGAAATATCGTTCGCCGCGAACCAAGCCGTCTTACGTCCGTTCGACACCGAGGAGATAGAGGATTTTCGTCTACCTGGAGTCGCGATAGGTTTCGCCTGCGTGGGAGTCGCGGTCGGCCCTCCGACGACCGACGACGCCGCGGGACTGTACGCCCTCATCATCTGGCCTCCTCGGGGCAGCGTGCTGCTTCCACCCACGTAGTATCCGCTGTTCGAATTCGAGTTCTTCGCAGTCTGAAACAAAAATCGTATCCTCCGATTATTACGAGAGTCTCTCGTTTCGTCGACGCTCTCGTTCGTTTCCATTTCAGACGTCGGGAAAGCGTCGGACGATATTCGACGATAAATACTACCGGAATTAAATACGATTTCGGATAACGAACCGGCCTCGCGATAAGGACGACTAGAAAGCGAGCATCCTTATTTATTAGACATCGACGGCGGATTCCTCACATTCGAGATTCCGTGAAAACGAGAGAAAACGGCCGACACCGGAAAAGAACAGACGCTGGCAATGAAAACGATACGGATCAGCGACGCATTTTCGTTTTTTACTTTGCTCATGCAGGTAGTACACGTACGCGGTAAACCGAGGACGATTTCGCGAAGAGTTTACGATTCATAAAGAGGCTCTCGCCTCGACCCACGGGACCTCGTGGAAAACAAATTACATAAACAATTCGCGTTCGTTTATCGTCGCTGTTCAACCATTTTTACAAACTCGTTTCTCTCTTATAAAACAACGAATGGAGATTCGAGATCGAAGTCGGGCACGTGTCGCATCCGCTCTCGGAACGAGTTTCGAACGATGTTTATCATCGCTTCTCGCCCAGATCGGTGGAAAGGCGATTTCGAAAGCGGACGCTCGACGTAAATCGTCTAAAAAGTCTCGCCTCTACTAAAATTCTGGTGCATTATCTAACGTGACCTGATTTGCGCAACGATCATCGAATTGACTATTACGGCTGGCAATTACGATTCTCGCCAGTCGATTCGATTCCTTCTCTGATCGTGCTCCCCCCATCGAACCCCGATCTCGGCGACCGAGGCCAGTGCTCGGATCTGTCATTTGCCTGATCGCCGCTGTCGGACGATCAACGAGTACCAAGCGGATTTCGCGGAAGCGGCGATAAGTGGAAAAAAATCGCCGAAGACAAACGGGAAGAGTGGCCAAGAGGCAAGGTCTACCTCCTACCTCTTCGACCGACCGACCGACCGACAACGTGTTCGCGTGCTGGCCAGGTTTACCGGCATTGCCACTGGCCTTGCTCAGTGTTGTTTACTCGCGCGGAGTGCTCGCCACACTCGCTCCGTTCCGTTTCTCCCGTCGGCGGACTCTCGATCTCGCAAAGAGAAATTTGCAGAAGCAAAAGGAAGGAAGGTAGGACGGAGACAAAAAAGGGGATGAACGAATCGACATGGAGAAATCGTGGTACAGCGTCGGCCTTGTCCGTTTGATTCTGTTTGGCCTAGCGATGTCTCCCTGCTGGGGAACGCGAACCACTCCGATGCACAAGGTGCAGTTCACACAGAAGGGATACATTCAGGTGAGAGAAACAATTTTTGCATTCGAAGATTTCGAGAACGCTTGAATTCTTTCCGAGCGCACCGGATTGGCAATGAATGTCTACCTACTTTCGACGCGCTCGTTCGTTGTCCGCATTATCGGTTACGGAGAACGCAATTACTCAATTCTGTCCGCGTATAGTCGTTCATTAGCACGCGGAGCCGCTCGTTTAAGGCGTGCACCACCTATCGTGCCGTCGACACCGCGAGATCGTTTAGGGATAATTGGTACGTTTCCAGTTTCTGCGATGGGAGTTGCCGGTACCGGAGATCACCGAGTTCACCTTCTGCCTCTGGTTGCAGTCCGACGACCTGACTCACCCTCACTCGATGTTCTCCTATTCGAGTAAGTCGATAAACCCAGAAATCCGCAACGCCACACGGTACGCATCGCGCGTTTATGCAACCAAGAAAGTGGTCACGAAAACCATTTTCACCGATGGTGTTCGAGTCGACCGAGCACGCATTTCTATTTTCCTATTTCGCTCGCTTTTACGAGCCGAGAAAAAAACGATGCGTTAAACGCTCCGTTTCCTGTTTACAGAGGACGAGAAGGAGCGATTGGTGCGCGCGTGGATCGCGCCGCGAGGACGGAGCGTCCATCTAGAGATCGGGGGAATGCGGGTGTTTGAGACGGTCACCGAGATTCGCGAGAATCGCTGGTACCACTTCTGCGTCAGCTGGGAAAACGAGACTGGACGCTACGGTCTGTGGATCAACGGTCGCGTGTGGGCGCACGGATCCTCCGTCGAGGTACGAACCGAGCCTTCGATCGAGCAACGGGTTTCTACGCAAATCATTCTAACGATGAGACTCTCGTTTTCAGACAATCGGACACGCGATACCGAAGGGAGGAGACATCGTGGTGGGACAGGAGTACACCGACTTCGACAAAGGCCTCGAGGACGGGATCGAGGGTGCGGTGTTCGGTTTCAACTTGCTACTGGCCTCCGCGTTTGAACCCCTGCATGATTTCGGCCCACCTTTCTGGGGTCACACCGTCGCAAAGATTCCGACGAAACGCGACGTCGAATATGGGACGAGAATTTTTCCGATTTCCAAAGAGGCTCGAGAGCGTCGCTACGCCGACCACGCCGTGTCCCTACCCCTGTTCTTGATAACGAGCCGGCAAAAGGCAGATCCTTGGCGTAACGACGTAAGAAACGAATGGACCGAGTTTGAGAAACGACCCCTGGGGCTGCAATTAGTGAAACTGTCGTACGTGCGTTGCGAGATCGGAAGGGGCAGCCCGTTCATCGGCGGATCTTTGATGCTGATCTCCTGGACCAGGACGCCCGTTCGCGTGTTCGGCGGAGCTCTGTTGAAGAACGTGGGCAACGAGTGCGGAATGTTTCCAGCGACGCCCGAGGGCCTCTGATCGAATTCGCGACTCGCGAAAACGCAAACGGATTCGAAAATGGAATGGACGCGAGGCTCACGTTCCTTTTACGAACGCCTGCCGGACGAAATCGGTGAACCAGCCGGGCGACGGGACGTTGAGCAACCATTAGATAATTGTATCAACCGGGCGATTAGTCGAAGAAAGGCATTGTGTCCTGGGGGTCCGATAAAAATGTGGCGCAGTGCCGCGACGACGACGTGACGTGTAACGGCTTGCCGCAATCTCGGAAAAAACTCGAGGGGAGAACAAACGTTGCGGTGGGTCGTTACAAAACCGAGGACAGATCGACGTCGAGGCGAGGTAAAAAAAAAGGTCGGTCGAGCGCCCTTTTACGCGCGACGAGGAAGCATGGAGAGCACGTCGCCGATTTCGTCGGCAGAATCGACCCGTCGTTTCATACGATTTACTCCCGGAACGTTCGACCGCACTAGTTTCGCCTTTAGCGTAGAACTCGACACACAATGCGTTACAAGTCGCCGTGGCGCACCGGTTCGACCTGTTTCGCAATTATTCTCACGGGTTACGCGCGAACGAGCTATTACGTTCCGTTCTACCTCCGCGAACCCATATAGGGCGAACCTTTTTTTCATCACGCCGCGTTCGTCCCTCGGCCGGACGCAGACGTAACAATGAATCACTGTTACGAACGACCGCACTAATTAAGATAATTCTGTAACGATCGCGATACGTCTAAGAATAAATGAGTAAGAGAATCGAATCGTTTGTATTTCATTCGATCCAGTCCCCCTCCGATCACTGTAATTATTACCGAGAAATTCCGCGGTCTCTCAGGAATGTGCATGCCCGTTCGCTGGTCTTAAAACGTGTCGCAAAAACTGAACGAGCGGTTCACGACGATCCGTTCGTCGAATACTCGGAAGCGTTTCGAGACAAACAGGGATGTACCGAGAGGGAGATGCGTCGTTGGGTAACGGTACGGAATTGTTTCACCTCGAAGACTTTCACCGTATCAGAAATAGATCCGCTTCGACTTCGACCCTGAAACCGAGGAACCTTGCCACACGATCCGAGGCGAGGATCGCGTGACGAGGAATCGACCGTCCCGTTGCAACGGAAGTAAACGTTTGCCGAATTGCTTTCGCTTTCACCGAAAATCGCGTGGTCAGGTACCATGCGTTCTCTCCCGTCGCGACGGCCTCGGTCACGTAATTCCGGGGTAGCGGACGCACGGGCGTCGAGGGAATACGCCCGACTCGATAAATAGACGGGAGCATTTTAATTCATGCGGAAACGAGGAGACACTCGTTGACGTAATACGTGACGCTGACAGGGTGTGCTTAAACGCGGGCATCTCGACGTTATTCCTTTAACGTTCGTTGGAACGCGACGCTCGATCAGACGCCTAAGTCACCGTGAAATTCATACGTTTCTTCCTAGAGACTCGCTCCGCCTCGTTGGAAGCGGATCAGACGCACACGGGGATCGAGAAAATCGACACCGACTATGGCATCTCGATTTACATAACCGCGAGAAAGGGTTGCGCAATAATTACGGAACGCATTCGTTAAAGCGCAGAAACGTTCAAAGAAAAAATTAAACGCGACGACGTATCTGGGTTAAAAACGAGCGGCTAGCGTTCCCCTCGATTTTTCCACCGATTCGTCATGCATTGTCTGAGAAAAACGAGTCGATCGAAAATTTTACAACGTCGTCGATTAGATAACTAAATGACGTCACCCTCTCCGTCTTCGGAGAGGAACGGCATGTAACTCCGGTTAGTCCTCGCGCAGTAATTTGAAACGTACGATGCGCTCGGTGTGGTGGTGGATACATGAAAAATGGTTGGGACGCGAGATCTCGTCGGGAGAAAGTTCGGTCAGGGAAGGAATTGCGAAATTCGGACGGAGATCTGTCCGGATATGCCCTCGGGTTTCGGCCGCCTTCTCAAGAATTCTCTTCTCGGACTCCGCCGTGTGACCAGTGCCAATGTTGCAACCGGTCCAGTTACATTGGAAAGGTACGCCGACGTAGCCGCGAGATCGTTCGCGGAATCCTAATCGCCGCGAGAAAATTAGAGCGAGCAGCCACGGAGCCTCGAACTCCGACCTATCGATTCGAGGACGAAACTTTCGCCGTCGAAAGAATCGCGAGCTCGCGACGTTGACGGACGTCGGCTCTGTGATACCGGAAGTCGAGAGAGCGCGCGTGTGTCGCTACGCAGAGAAAGGAGACAGGCAAGGAAAAAAACGGCCGGTGGAAAACGAAAGTAGCGGCGGCTCGAAAAGCGCGCGGGCGACGGGTAATTAAAAAAAACTCCACTGGAACGTGGACAGATCGGTCCCGCGAGCGCGTTCAAGAATTACTTCGATCGATCTACTTTTAAAAGCCGATCCTCTGATCCGAGTCACAGACGATCCGATGGAAAAAATTATTACCCCCCCTCGGAAATGAGTCGAGCGAACTTCCCGGCTGGCGAACGAGCCTCGCGAGATCTAACGAAAAATAGGAACTGACCCAGAGAGGTGGAAGCGATAGAGAGCTCGCGCATCCTGTGCGGCGGGATCGTAGGATGTCCGAGGCTGGCAGCTCTCGTTAAAAAGGGAGAGAGGTAGAAAAAGGCGAACGAAACTCGGGTAGGAGAAGGTGTGCACACCTCTTACGAGTTTACCAGGCGTACGTCGAGCAGAACGAGCGGACAGTTACCTTTCTGTTCCGACACCGCGAGGATCTACCTCCCTCTATCGCTGCGAGCACATCGGTGATCGGTTCTCGGTGAGTTTTACCTTTTACTCGCATCGATTCCACGACTCCTTATCTCTTTATTTGGCGAGATAAATCAAACAGATACAACGCACACGCACCGGACGCGACCCCTATCTGATAAGTCGCCGCTTATCAGATAACACCGTGGATTCGGTTTACTGAAAGTCGTGCTTATTAAAATTACCTCAGAAAATACGAGGACTCGTGGAATGCGAGGAATAAAATTCACCTTCTAAGGGTGAACGAAGTTAAAATCAACGATCCATCGATGAGACGAACTCGTGCCTTTCGACTGTCTCGACTATCGGAACGACTTTCCCGATTTTAATTAATTTAGCTATCCGATAATCCGCGAACCGATAACGCGGACTAAACCCGAAACTATATAAACTTTTTTGATTGACGCGGGACTAACGAGGCGCGGTGCTTCGGCTTTAGTAAACGTCGATTTTCATCGTTTCACCGGGCAGCGAATTTTGCAACTGCCACGGCTCATGTAACGTCGAAACGCGTTCAACTGACAACCAACTAGCTACTTCCTGACCGGTCACGCTTCGATCCTCGGCTCGTTTTCAGGTCGTTCGGGGAGAAGAAGTACCGTCTGTCGTCGACATGAAGATCTACGCGTTGGCGTACCGTTTACTCACGTGGACCGCGGTCCAGGCGATCTCCAACGCTTGGAGACCGTCGTTCCCGACGGCAGCCAGCATTTTTCACCAGGAAAGCTCTGTTTACGGGGACGGTGAATATCTGTACGACGCTTCCCCGTTGCTGGCGCAACACGATCAGGACGGATGCGCCCTGTACAAGATAGTGATGAAGCAGCAGCTGTACTTCGAGGTGAGAAACGCGACCCGGCACGCGAGAAAATTTAGGATTCGTCGGACGACGTTTCCTGCTCCGATTTCGCTCCGTCACGGTCGAAGGCTCGTCGGGAGAGCCGGCGAACAGAACGACACGAATCGCGGCAACGAAAGTACTCCACGGAGAAAACGCGAATAGCACGCGAACCGTCGGTCGACCGAGTTTTCTCGTCTCGGCACCGATCGAGGCCGATCGCGGAAGTGCGCGGAGGAACGCGTCGAACCGATCGCGTCGCCAGCGGTGACACGGTCGAAGGATCGCGAGGAACGTGGTGTCACGTTCAAGTGCACCCAGAGCCGTCGCGAAATCGCGAGAGGAGTACGCGACGCGGTGTTCGTTCTCCGATCGGTGTTGCGCAACGCGGACATCACGGTAAAGACCTTGTTCTCGTCGAACGGTCGAATCTCCGGAGAAACTCGGTTGCGCAACGCGCGGATCGTATCAGAAAAATCGTGGAACTAATCGCTGGAGGTGAGAAGAGAAGTGGAAAGAAAGCGGATGCCGTAAAAATGAAGGCAGCGCCGTCGCGTTCTCCGATCGCTGCCGCGCAAAAAAAAACTCGGCTCGTTCGCGCAATTCTGATCTACATAAACGATGCGATCGATCAACACCGATTTCAAAACCAGCTCTCGCTCTCGATTTGCAGTACGTTCACTACAAGACGGAGCTGCCGGACATGAAGGAGTTCACCCTGTGCATGTGGGCCAAATTCTACAATCACACCAACGATCATCCGCTCTTCTCGTACGCAGGTAAGCCTCGCGCTCTCTTCCCTTTCACCCGATTCTCTCTTTTTTTCCTCTCTTTACCCCGTTCACGAACGCGAGAAAGCGAAAGTTCTGCTCGGGCTTTCGAGCAAACCGAATCACCGTGTCGAATATAAAAAAAACGAAAAACAATCGGCATTGTTACGCACTTGGACGCTTCCTCGGAACGAGATCCGAGGGAGTAGGAAAAACGGGGCTGACGCCAACGCTCTTACGTAAAAGTCTCGATCGAGCCTGACTCGAAGATTCGCGAAAAGTAAAACGGGCAAGGGGGCGAGCGTGAGAGACGGTCGAATTCCAAAGGAAACCCTTGGGAAACGCGAGTCTCGATCGAACACGCGAGGCGTTCTAATCGTGACGCAATTTATCCGGGACCGTCGGCGGGGGTTCGCTCTGATCGAAGCTCTCGTGACTGTTTCCTAGTCGGGGACCAGCCGAGGGGGATCCTGTCCTGGGTGGCGAACTCTGCGAGGAGCTCCTACTTCATGATGAACGTCGACGGGCACAACTTGTACAGATTGAATTACCCGCTGCGATTGAACAAGTGGTATCACTCGTGCCAGAGCTGGAACGGGCGCACGGGAGAATGGCAGATCTGGGTTAACGACGAGCGCGTCGGCCGCGGATTCAACAACAGGGTGAGTCGCGAAAATTCGCGGCCGTGAAAGCGTCAACGATTCCTAGAAAAGTGGCCGGCCGGCTTTCTCGGTGCCGAGTGCCAGATCACGCGCGAATTCGATCCAAGAGTAATGCCACGTTTCGCGTTTATCTTCCAAGCTACGCTCGATTTCAGATACGCATCACCGATGCATACGAATCTTCGACGCGGCGAATTAATGATAGAATTTATACATACGATTAGAAAACGTTGCAAAACTGAATTGGAATTAGCTAGAACGGAAGAACGCGTCGATTTGAAAAGTAGGATAATCCATTCTCATCGATTCAGGATTAATTGCACAACCCATAATATCGAGTCTGTTTTAACGTGACGATCAAATCGAATAGAAAGCGATATTTGGAAGCGTTCGGAGGAAGTCGCGTCCGGTTCTAACATTTCTCCGTAGGATTCTCTATCCGCTTGCGCAACGTTCTCTCCAGTTTGTCGCGATGCAAATCCTCCGGAAACTCTCGCTGGCCACTGGCACACACGCGTCGTCGTTTATCTCTAAGGGAAAGTCGTGGCCTAGATCGTCGCTTGGGTTTTCGCGCCAGTTTTTCGCTGCGATGCTGTATCGGTTTCGGGTCGAACGTCGCGAAGGGTCGTCGACTGCTAACCGTTTCGCCCGGGGCGACGAGCGGATAAGTTTTATGGAAGGAGAGAATGTGCGGCGAAAGGAATTTAATCGGTGATAGCGCGTCACGTATTTTCCGCGAGCAGATCGATTCTGCCCGATCCGCGGAAACGGGTGCTCGCGGTAGTTTATCCGGCGTGACCCTAATTTGGTCGCTCGTTCGCTTTTGTCTGGTCAGCTGGTCGGACACGTGATCAAAGGAGGTGGGATAGCCATCACGGGGCAGGAGCAACGACAGCTGGGTGGCGGCTTTTTGGAAGGCGAAGGCGCCCCTAAAGGTAAACGACCGTTCTCTCGTTTTCAACTTTTATCCTACGAAAAGCGTGCCGTGTTCAAGGCTCCGGTGGTCTGTTGGGCGAGGTGACCATGGTACAGCTCTACGACGTGGCGCTCACGGCGGGCAAGGCTCACAAGGATCACAAACATCACCACGTTCACCACTACGAGCACGACACGAGCAACAACACGCCCAGACCCACCAGCCGCCCACCGGTTACCGGTCCACCCTTACCGCAACATCCGTTCCTCACGGCCGGTCAAATCAATCACCGGGTAAACTGCATACCTCAATCGCGAATGCGTACACTCCGCGGTTTAAACTATGCTATGAAATCGTGGCTCTCACCGCGTCGATTCCAGGTGAAAATCAACCCAGGATCACCGCTGCAGATCATGCAGAACGGCGTTACCCTCAGGCACCCGGCGATCGTTCCTCGCGATCCACCGCCTCAACCGCTCCCACCCGTGAACCCCGAAGCCGTCGCGGCCGCGTTTCCCCTGCGATCTACTCAGTTCTTCGGCAACCTCCAGCCTACCGTCGGATTGCCCACGGCGAGCGGAATAACGGGTGCCGGGGTGAATTTGGCGGACGGGCCGTACCGCAATCTTTTCAAGAGGGAGAAGAATTCGTTGGGCGTTGAACCCGAGGGCGAGGAATCGAATTCAGAGGAGACCGCGATCGAGAAATCTGTCGTTACCAGAGCGCTGGACGAGCAGACCTCCGACGGCAAAGTATGCCAGTGATCGTGCGAAACTCGGAAGGGAATCTTTATTTTCGAACGTTTCAGGTGACGTTCGTGCCGAGCGAAGATTCGGAGGATAAGAAGCTGGAGAAGAGGGACTCCGAGAAGAAAAAGAGGGGACTGGTGCACATCGGCGACGGACTCATCGTCGACGACGGGTTCGTTCCCCAGACGTTGGACAACAATTATTTCGCGGGCCTGATCAATTTCGGGCAGCAGTTGCCCAAGTACGAGAACAAGGACGACGAGAGGGAACCCGCGGAAGCCGAGGTGAAAATGATCATGGACATCTGCGACGGTTGCGCCGAAGAGCCGTTCGAGAAGGCCCTGATCATGGGATGGAGATCGGTGCCTAAGAAATTGTACTCCGGCGCGGTTCACGTGCCGGCAACGCAATCGTGCAAGGCGTTCTGACAATGAGATTTATGGCCATCGCTATCGCTGACACAGGATCTCTCCTAAGCGCCGTGGAGGGAACCCGACGAATCTCAAGAAAGAACGGGTCGATCGCGTGTGCCAAGGGGAATCGATCGAGCACGTTCGGAGACGTATTTATTGCGTAGAGTAGCGGATGCTTTGCGATTACGAACTTTAAGGGCTGAAGTCGGGGAGACGCACCCGAGCCGATCTCGGTACGAGTATCTAACGTTTACGGGGTGAAAGAAATCCGGCTTTGTCCTCGTCGCGAAGGAGTGAACTAATAAAATCGTTGTATACCTTGCTCTTGTGAATGTGTTGATGCTGGTACTCGCTGTCGAACTCCGGCTCGCTGAAGTAGCTCTGGTCCTCCCAGTGCGGCGGCAACCCCGATCCCGGTATCCCCAGTGGTCCAGGCATCCCCGTGACCCCGTCGCTGCTCTCGAACAGCCGCAACACGCTTCGGTCTCTGATGTCTCTCAGATGAGACCTGGAAACGGCAACGAAACCGTTTGCTTCAGTCCCGAATCTCATCGGCGATCGGTCCAATTCCCTTGGATCTCTGTCTCTCTCGTACGTAGACCGTGGATTTTTCGAGGTGTAAAATCCGCGGTCTAGATACGCGACGTATCCGACGGGAACGGAAGTTCGCTCGTGTACGAACCTGAGATCTTCGAGTTCGTAGAACATGTCCTTGTTGCTATCGTGTATGTAAACCTTGACGTGAGGACTGTCTAGGTATTCCATAGTGAGTTGCTTCGGAAAGCTCCTGACGAATAGCGCCTTGACGGTGTCTATACTAGTAATTTCGTTTGGTAGCAGTGCCCGCTTCGTCTCGTTCCTATACTGCAGGAACACTAGACCTAAGGAATCGTCCACAGAAACGCATCGTTTCGTCATCATCAGGAATGTCCGACAAGGGCATCGAGCAGCGAGGCAGCAGCAAGACGCTCCTAACGCTAGTGCGGGTCGAGAGTTACCTAGTGGTCGCTCCAGAGTTTTGCTCGGGGTCCGAACGACGGGGAGGCTGCTTCTTTGCTTACCGCCCCGTCGGAATCCGGTGCTCGACGTCTCCACCTCGGACATGATGCCCGGGTCGTCGTCGAACAACATCGTCGAAGAGGGAGGCGGGTAACCGCGCGGAAGGGGCGACTGTAACAACCAAACGCCGGGTCTGTCAGCCAAACACCACCGCTCGTCTCGCCGAGTTCTGTTAGATACGCGAAAACGACAATAGCGAAAAACGGACGCATGCTTGCGGTGCGAGATTCGAAACGTTTCAAGCGGTTTACGATCAGAGAAAATGAAAAAAGGAATTACCTTCCTCTGCCGAGACTTGGTCCCCATCTTAGTCGGGCGGCGTCGTTAGGCAGGTCACACGGAAACACACACACACACAGAGTAAACCAATTAGATGTGATACGTATAATATGCATGGAGCAGAGAAAAAGGGTCGACTCGAAATTTTCAAAAAATAAGAGACAGTTCGATCGGACGCGCGCCTGACGCGTCGATTACTTCGGTGTCGGATCCCGTGGCCGGTCGGCTGCTCGGGTCGGTCCTGTAGACGTCCCTCGCGATCGTCGACTTCTTTCTTCTCCCGTCGAACGGCTTCCGGCTGCTCGAGGACGGCGATCGCTAACGCGGAAACGTGTAGACGAAAATCGTGGGGGGAAGTAGAAACGAGCAGGAAGAAGGCGTGTGAGGGGGTGCACGACGACGTGCAACGGTCAAGGGCCACGTGTACGCCACGCAAGCGAAATATCGTTGCAAAGTGGAGCGTACCATCGAGGGAGTGACTCGCAGGGGCGACCGCTCTACATATCTCGCGCGCGAAAATAGACGAAAACACGGTTCTCGGAACTCGACGAAGTGGGAAGGCAGCTACGAGCGAAACGAGGACGGCGTAGGTGGATGCGGCTTAATTAACCTCTTCCCTTCGTTACGTACGCTCGGTTCTTGACCTCGGAACATCCGTTAAACGAAGGATCGGCGCTGTCCGTAGCGGGACCGATCCGTGCCCGTTCCGCGCGTCACCGAGACGTCGGAAACCGGCAAAATCAGTATCAGTAATAACGTAATAATAATAATAATGTTGATGCGTGTGTGGCAAATATTACGGCACTATTTTGCCGGGTTTCGACGCGCCTCGGCGATACAGAAAACCGGTACGGCTCGAACCGAAGTGGTTGGTTCGCGTGATCAGACCGTGCGCGATCCACGAGACTCGAATCGTATTCCGTAGCCCCTACGGTTCTATCGGGCGACGAGAAACGGGGAGAAGATGAAAAAATGGAAAAGAGACACGTTCGTGTTTCAGGTGCGCAGAGTGAGTCGACGGTAGGCGCGCGACCGTTGACTCATCCTGGCTCGCTCGTATCGGGATTCATTCCCCAGGTTGAAAAACAGTGAGAAATCGGAGTATACAGAGGGGGTACGTATGAGTCGCGAAGATTCACCTCGAGATCCATGGTGGTGTGACGCGTGGGCGGCGTGCCGTATTGGCCGTGGGGCGGTGGCAGGTGATGAGGATGAAGGGGGTGCAACTGCTGGGCCGCGTTGAACTGCTGATGATGCAGAGAGGGCTGGTGATCGCCGCCGAGGGTGTGCCTCCTCGGTTCGTCCCTCGATCTGCCCCCACCCCCGGATCCGCTTCTACCGCCGGACCCGCCGACCACGCTTCCGCTTCCGCTTCCGCCAACCCCCAGCACGCTTCCTGCACCGCTCCCGATGCTACCCACGCCGCCACCCCCGCTTCCGCCTCTCCGGACCTCGTTCGAGCCTGCCTCGCTCTCCCCCCTGCCGGACCCACCTGAAACAGAAGCCACCAAATATTTTTCTACGCGTTCTCTCCGTCGTCGACGAGCGTAAACGGAAATAGGGACGACGCGCGAAGAGGGAAACCAGGCGCGGTCTCTCGAGGACACGGTTGGTCTCTCAACGAGACTATTTACTGCACCGACACGCGTTCCTGGAGGACGTTCTCCGGCGGGGACTATTTCCGTGCCGGAGATCGACGCGTGATCTATGCGCTCGCAATTCGGATGGCACGCGACTCTGCCGTACAAACTGGGTCGCGGAGACCGAAACAGGCCGGCTGCTCGATTCGACGCCGCGCCGCCGATTCGAGAGCAGCTGGAACGGTCCAATTAACTGGGAGCCTAGCGAATTCCTCTACCCGTATTCGTGGCCCGTGAAAAATTCCGAGTTACGACGAGCGGCCGCTCGCTCCGACGACTACCTCTCTCTCGACTGCCGCGTCGATCGAAATTGAAACGTCGTTCGACTTATCTTCTGGGACGGGCCCACGAGTCCATTACCACCGCGCGTCGTCACGACGACGTCGCGTATCGAAATCCGTTAAAAGCACTTGGACGCGTCTTCGGGCGTAAAACAAGCGCGACCGAAATTAAACGAGGCGAGCGAGGCTAAAATCGATTCGCTCGTACCCTTCTAATTGATCTTCCTCCGCCGACCCTTCTCGTTGCTTCGAAATCACGAAACGGAAGCGCAGTTCGGTGCAACACGCGACGCGCGCTCGATCACCGATGACGGCGTCTCTACCGATGATCCCGACTCGATTAAACCGTCGTCGGTGCGCTCGATACGACGCGACGACCGCCACTGGCCGACCACGGCCAATCTCTCGAACGCGTTTATTTTCAGAATATGCCGCGTGTTCTGAGTGGGAGCGAGCAAACTCGGCCGACGAATCGACCACGGCCCGGCTCTCGCTGTCCGTCGAGAAATCTAATCTGACGTTGGGACGCGTTCGATAACCAGCGGCAGATAAGATTCCGACGAATGCAGTCGCAAACACTCTGCCGGGGATTAATGGGATAAGCGGGACGAGTCCGATTTCCGCGAACTTCGCGACGAAAGGATTCGACCATAGGGGAAATTGACACGCGTTCCCTTTTGTGATCGGGGACGATGGATAAATTCGTCGCGATAAGCAGGACCGAAATAACCGAGCAACCCCTTTCCTTGTGTTTACGTTCACAAGTTCAACGGTCCTCTCGCGCGAGCGAGATGGGCAGAGCTCGCGAAGAAAATAGTGCGACCACATATTTACGATCGTGGGTAACGCAAATATAGAAGCACCGGTGAGAGCACGTTTCTCGAAGATAAGAAAATATTGCTCTCGATCGATCTCGCGGGCACATGAGTCTATCGATGAGAACCACGTACTTTGGTTCCTTGACCTCAACTGTTGCACGCCTACGTAATCATCGTGGAACGCAACGCGAACGGTTCATAAAACGCTCGACGGTGAACCCTCTGCCAAGGGGGATCGCGGTACGTTTTGCGGGGGTCGGTCGTATCGCGATAGAAATTCTGTTTGAGAGAAGCCAGGCACGGAGGTCGACCCTTTCCGAGAAAATGGAACGGAACGAACTTTGATCCGGGGCGGATAAAAAAAACGGATCGCGTCGTTCGTTAAAAGTGGACGAACTCTTCGCAGGCCGTATATCGATTATCGTCGGCCAAAAATACGCTCGAAAGTGGCTCCTTTCCCTGCCACCCTTTCGTCCTCTCGAGGCTCTCTCGAGCCAAAGACTCTCCGTGGCTACTCGTGGTTCGCGCGAGGCGATTCGCGTTCAGCGAACCCACACGGGTCAGTCGGGACGCGCGTTAATTAACCGTAATTGTTGCTAGCCTAACGGGACCGCACGCTCGTTCGCTGTGCGTTTCGAACATCTCGATCGCCAAAGCGACTCCCAAGGACGACGACCGGTGGAGGAGGAAGAGAACGCGGCCGAGAGCGAGAGAGAGACGAGACGAGAAGCAGATGGAGAGCGAGAGCCAAAGGCGAGCCGAGAAGAAAGCGATCGGGAAAAGGGGTCTGGGTTACAGTGCGTTCACCGTACTTTTAATTTCACCCTCTGAGAGCGTGCCTCCGTATTCGTCCGACGCGCATACGTGGAGCGCAGTCTGCTCTTCACCGTTCTAAACCCTGAATCGAGCGCGTGTCGGGAGAAAAAAGAAATCCATATTCGCTTTTCAAGCGAGATCAGCGGCACGTGCGTGCACCATTGCGTGCGCCGTTCAGCGCCGCCGTTCCATCGTCCCTTCTCTCGCGTCCACCACGTGTCTCGCTCTCTCCCTTCCGTCGGAGGCTGCGTCGAGGAAACGCTTGGCTCCGCTCGATGATCGATTGCACCCGAACGAACCGAGGAGAAATTGCGAAATCGACGCGAGGTCACTTACCGCGGGTTCCGTCGGGAAAACTTACGAGCCGAAGGGATCACGCGGTCCGCGTCACCGACCGGAACTCTCGCTCGCTCGCATCTCGGGACGCGGTGGGAAACTAGAAACGCGATTCACCGCACGTACCGTCCAATACGAACCGTTGGCCGCGTGTCACGCTCGCTACTGCCGCCGCCGGCTACCGTCGGAGGGAAAACCGAGCCGAAAGGAAGGCATCCTCGTTGCTGCCGTCTCCGACACACCGCCGACGCCGCCTCCGACGGTTTTATAATCAATATTAGTTGTCGGAGGATCCGCCGAGCGTCGCCGTTCGACGCGAGAAAGACAGAATTCGCCTCTGCCAATATTAATTACGGCCACCAGGAATACGAGCCCACTTACTTCTCTTATCAGGAGTTCTCCCTCTCTTCCCCTCCTCGATCTGCATCCCAGAGTCCTTCCCTCGCGCCGAGAACACCGCGAATCATCTTTCCCGACCGCGTCATCGTTTCCGACGATCATACACAACGTCCAAGTGCATCGTGACACGGGGTGCGAACGACCGAGACTGTAGGGTACCGGCGTGAACGAGCGATCGCGACTCGTGGACGCGAGGACCGGCGTGCTCGAGCGGGAAGGAAGGATCCGGAGTCGCACAGGAACGAGGAACCGCGTTTTTCGAACGCAAACCGGCGCGGCAGGGTGTGGCGAGACGGAGCGTTTTGAAAGATTGGCACACGCGATCCGCTTCGACCGGCGTCCACTGACGGCGGCGAGGGCGTCGCGACGAGCCGACCGTCGCGACGCCCTCGACGCCCACGCAGAACGCCATCTCGTTGCCACCTATGCGATCCCGTCATAAATCTGAATAACGATCTCCGTCGACGATGAACCTGCGACACGAATGCGACCGCATTGTCTCCAACGATCGATCAGTTTTATCGGAGAGCCCATCGACCCTCGTAACTCGACTCGATCCCCTTCCGATTCTCGAAACGGCAGAGACGCACGGGGGAAGTGAATTTATAAATAAAAAAAAAACTGGGTTTTCACGTCGAAACGTGGGGTTGTGTACCGATCGAGGGATCGATTCTTCTCTATTTACGGAGCGAACCCCTGTTCACGGGGCGCGAGCCCTGCAAACGCCGCTTCCAGTTCTATCACGGGTCGGTAACCAGGAAGTCCGACGAAGTGCAGGCGCGAAACGAAAGAGTCACCACCGGCCGGGTACGTGCGTTCGCTCGAAAAGAAACGAATCTCGAATTCACGAGGTGGAATCCCGGAAACCGTGGATAAGTTCCGGCGAGACTGGGTAGCGCGTGCGGAGATAGCGTTAATGGGAACGGTTCAGAATCCTCTGCACGAGTAGACCTCGCGCACCCGGTCGGTTAATCCCGCTTCCGGCGTCTTTTGAAACATCCGGCTGAACCGTGATCCGAGCAGGCTCGAAAGAAATTTCAAAGGGAGAAACGACAGACGTGAAAGGGTGAAGAGAGAACGAAAGTTGGCCGTCTCGTTCTCTCATCGGAATCCACTTTCCGGAATTAGGGCCGTTCGATTCGATTATTGGATCGTCGCATTAGATACGCCTCCACGATTCGCGCGGTGATCACGCGCGGCGGACGCTGCGTGCCGTTCGTGGTAAACAGCGAATTCCCGAGGAGCGCGTGTCACCGAAAGGTCGATTAAAAGCGCGTAGGACGAAGCTGACTCTGCGGGAAGGGAGGCTGGTAATGGGAGAGGAAAGGGCGAAGTTGACGAGATGGAAGGCCCAGGCGTATCGTTTTCACGCGCCGAGGTACGACCGGAAGGGAAACGTGGTCGCCGGTGAAACTCGAACCGGGGAAACCCGACGGGCGCCTCGCCGATTCCAGGGGTTAAGTTAAGCTCGTGACGCGCGCCTACTTGAACCTGGGTCGCCTCGGTAGTCCGAATCCTCTCGAGCCCGATTCGAAATGGAAACGATTCGAAGAGCAACGAGAGAGGGAAGAACGGTTCTTTCGAGGGGGCCGACAAAGCGGAGTACCGACTCACCGGTGTCGTTGGACTGTCGACCCTTGCCATCCGAATTCCACTCTTCCTCTGCAACAAGAAAACGAGACACGAATCTGTTAGCATCGGAGCTACGCGAGAGAAGGCGAGAATGAGTCTGAGAAATGTTTTTCACGGGTGATCGTGCGAGAGAGAGAGAAGCGACCTGCGACGTTCATTTGTCGACGAGCTGAGCTACGGCGATCGCGATCAGAAAAATCGTGGAGAACCAACGATCGGCTCGAGCAGAGCCGACGTAAACTCCGGACGAGTTCGCCGTTGCTCTAGAGCAGCGCGCTCAGGTGCACACACGCGTTATGCATATTTCAGAAGCGAAGGTTCCATCGCGCGGCCCGTATATTTCTAAGGACTCACGACCCCGTTGCTTCCGCGTTCTCTCAGCCACGCGAGAGCGAGGACGTACAAACTCGAATTTAAGCCGACCTATTTCTCACCGTCACGTTCCGGGGGGTAGAGCAGCGCTGATCTGCGAGACGAACATCCGTCCCGAATAACGATTCGATGGAAAGTCGATTGTTCAACGGAATTTAGTAGCAGACTACGCGTGTTCGACCTTGCGGGTTAAAAATTTCCCCAACAGTCGAGTCCTGCGGGGAGATGCGAAAGGTCTCCGCGTGTATTTACGAAACGAGGGGAAGAGGCTGCGAGAGAGAAATGGCGTGGCTCGAGGCTAGTCGCTTTTTCTCGACCCTCTCGTAACCTCGTTTGCGATACCGACGCGTCGCAATTTTCCCCGTTGCCTAAACGACCTCGCCTCTTATCTCGTGCGCCGAAAGAAGAGCCGAGGAGTCTCGTCGCGAATCTCTTCTTCGCTTTGATCGTACTCACGGAACGGCGCGCGGAGATCGAGCTTACGCCGGGACAACGCGGACGTAGAACCTTCTCTCTTCTTCTCGCGGAGAACACGTCCAGGTTACCAGAAATCGGAACCGGAAGAAGAACGCTCGCGCTTAATTGAAATTTCACCCGATTTTTACGCGGAGTGCCCGAAACCGGACGAACGAGCGCAAGTAATCCCGCGAGAAATTTTGCGAAGACGAAAAATGTTGACGGGAAAATGTTTGGATACCTGACGTCTCGGAATCTGATCCTGGCGTCGGGCTACCGTCCACGCTCTGTCTAGATCCTTGGCAACACTCGCTGCACTTGCTGCACATTTTCTCTGTCCCGCGCACTCGACGTTCTCTCAACGATCGTCCGTTAGCTGCCGTGTCGCGACACCACGCCGAACCGATCGACCGTTATTATCGTTTCGCTGGTCTCATGGTTCCACGAACGATCACCACCACCACCGCCCATGGGACGCCGCTCGATCACCTTTGCTCGACCGCGGACGACGACGATGCGACCCTTTGAATCCGGCCGAACTGATGGAAAACCATTTTTATTCCTTGCGGCTCCTCCGACCTCTCGATCGCGTTCGAAACGAAATCACGAGCGACGTCCGATCGATTCATGCATTAAAAAGTATCGGACGTCGAGTACTTGGACATCGGCGAGCTCAAAGGGAGAGAAAGTCTCGCGGAGATCGAACGGGGAAGGAGCGCGCGCGACGTCGCTCGTAATTACTTCTCCGAGACCGGGAAGAAGCCGGCGATGCGCAAAATTAATTGTCTCTTTTAAGCCACACGTCCCGTGAACAGCAATTTCTCGGAGCAAAACGTGGACGTCTGTCGCTTCCGCGTAACCGCAGGGAAAATGGCAAAGACAGAGCGCGGTGGAAGCTCGTATCGAGGTTTTCCGGGCTAAAGTAATTTCGAGAACCGGGTCGCGAGGTTATCAGGCGCTTTGCTCGAGGAAAATACTCGATTAAACGAAAATAGAAAGCGGCGGTGACGAGACTTGTAATGGGACGCGGGGCACAAAGAAGAGACGCGGAACCCAATTGCACGGTTGATCGTGTCGTAGACGGAACTCGGGCACAGGTAGGCATAAACGGTCCCGATTCGAGGATGGAACACACCGTGTCACAGGGAGATGTAATACGATCCGAAATTAACTGGTAACGCGGGGTTTCGGAGATGGTGCAGCGACGCGACGCGATCGGTTCGCGGCTTCGCGTGCACCGCGGATGATCGATCGTCGAACTCGACGCAACGACGAACGAGAACTCGCAATTACGACGAGAAGTATTCCGAGGGACGACGGCGACGACGCGACCGCCGCCGCCGCCACCTCGAATTTCATCTGATTCGGTTGGCGGAATTCGCGGGGGATCTCCATAAATCGAGGCAGCGAAATTCGCGTCGGAACTGGGTTAAGCGCGCTCATTCTACTCGGCCACCGAACCGTTCGTTCGTTGCCCTTTAATCGCGATTATTCAGGGACCTCGAGCAATTGGCCGACGCTGCTCCGGGTAGAGAACGAGGAGGAGGAGGAGGCCCTTCGCAGTGACGCGAGAAAACTTTTGCTCGCGTCGATTCGCGGAATTGCACAACGAGCCTCGATCGGCCGCGACACTCGAGCCGACGCGGTTAAGAGGCTCGTAAAACCGGGAAGGCAAAGGTTGAGAAAGAACCCGGTCGCGTTTCTCGCCGTTTGACCGTCGCGCTCCCAATTACCGAGGAACGCGCGCGCTCGCCTCGTTATCACCGTTAATTACGGGCTGGCTAATAACGGGGTCCGAAAACGAGAGGAAACGATCGATCGTCGAAGCGCGGATTCGGCGCGCACCGCGTGGACAGTAATTAACCGACTGGAATTATCGGTGGTCGAGCGTTACGCGAGATCTTCGGAGGAGGGCAAGTGTCCCGATATCCGATTACTCGAGCGACCGGGAAAGATAAACCGATCGAACCGGGACACTATTACTTCTCCGAGACCGGGAAGAAGCCGGCGATGCGCAAAATTAATTGTCTCTTTTAAGCCACACGTCCCGTGAACAGCAATTTCTCGGAGCAAAACGTGGACGTCTGTCGCTTCCGCGTAACCGCAGGGAAAATGGCAAAGACAGAGCGCGGTGGAAGCTCGTATCGAGGTTTTCCGGGCTAAAGTAATTTCGAGAACCGGGTCGCGAGGTTATCAGGCGCTTTGCTCGAGGAAAATACTCGATTAAACGAAAATAGAAAGCGGCGGTGACGAGACTTGTAATGGGACGCGGGGCACAAAGAAGAGACGCGGAACCCAATTGCACGGTTGATCGTGTCGTAGACGGAACTCGGGCACAGGTAGGCATAAACGGTCCCGATTCGAGGATGGAACACACCGTGTCACAGGGAGATGTAATACGATCCGAAATTAACTGGTAACGCGGGGTTTCGGAGATGGTGCAGCGACGCGACGCGATCGGTTCGCGGCTTCGCGTGCACCGCGGATGATCGATCGTCGAACTCGACGCAACGACGAACGAGAACTCGCAATTACGACGAGAAGTATTCCGAGGGACGACGGCGACGACGCGACCGCCGCCGCCGCCACCTCGAATTTCATCTGATTCGGTTGGCGGAATTCGCGGGGGATCTCCATAAATCGAGGCAGCGAAATTCGCGTCGGAACTGGGTTAAGCGCGCTCATTCTACTCGGCCACCGAACCGTTCGTTCGTTGCCCTTTAATCGCGATTATTCAGGGACCTCGAGCAATTGGCCGACGCTGCTCCGGGTAGAGAACGAGGAGGAGGAGGAGGCCCTTCGCAGTGACGCGAGAAAACTTTTGCTCGCGTCGATTCGCGGAATTGCACAACGAGCCTCGATCGGCCGCGACACTCGAGCCGACGCGGTTAAGAGGCTCGTAAAACCGGGAAGGCAAAGGTTGAGAAAGAACCCGGTCGCGTTTCTCGCCGTTTGACCGTCGCGCTCCCAATTACCGAGGAACGCGCGCGCTCGCCTCGTTATCACCGTTAATTACGGGCTGGCTAATAACGGGGTCCGAAAACGAGAGGAAACGATCGATCGTCGAAGCGCGGATTCGGCGCGCACCGCGTGGACAGTAATTAACCGACTGGAATTATCGGTGGTCGAGCGTTACGCGAGATCTTCGGAGGAGGGCAAGTGTCCCGATATCCGATTACTCGAGCGACCGGGAAAGATAAACCGATCGAACCGGGACACATACCGTCGTAGATCCGTGGTTACCTATGCCTTGCGGCTTGCGTGCAAACCACGCTCCAGCGTGCGTGCGTGCGTGCCTCGAACCGAGCGCACGCGAGTACCATCGATCGCGTACGGTGTTTCGCTCATTGCGTATGTTTTTCTCCGCGACAAAGCCGTCTTTGTTCCCGTTGGAAACCGAGCGAGTCCGTCCATGTCGAGATGCACGCATCTCGTAGAAGAGACAGAACCAAAAGAACGGGAACCAGTTCGTTTAGAGAGAACGATCGGACGAAGCTCGACACAACGAGACGCTGGCGAAAGGACCAATTTCGTCGTTCGTTCGAATTGCGCGTGGTTCTTCGAGTTCCCGTTTCGGGACCGATTCGAAATTCCGCGAGCGGCCGGCGGAATCGGCGAGGGACGAGAAAGTCGACGGACTCACCCCTGACTCGGGGGGACAAAACGAACCGGTGAAGAGAGAAGGAAGAGCAGAGGAGAGAAGAGGCTGCGCGGTAAGAGGAAAATGAAACGAGACCACTCTCCGCTCACTACTGGCTACCGTCGTCGTTTCTTTCTCGTTCCCGTCGCGCCGCGATTCTTTTTGTCTTCGCGACGCGCCGTACACCTCTTCACCGGCCTGCGAGTACCTTATAAGAGATCGTTAACGCCGGTGAATGCGCAAGACGAACGGAAGGAAAACCAACGACCGGAGGCGTCCCCCGTCCGATCAATCGAGAATTCTGATTCGACTTTACTTTTGCCGACGATACTCTCCTCTTTGGACGTCGTTAAAACCTACGAGAGGAGGATCGACGTCTATCAATGATATCCGCGGTATGCTTCGCCGAAACGAGAGAAGCTGCAGGGGACGATAGCTTTCGTTTTCCGCTCCCTTTGGCAACCGTGTCGATTGCGTCGTCGTCGTCGTCGTCGTCGTCGTCGTCGTGACTCTTTTTATATCCTGACTCTCTCTCCTCGTACGGTTCCGAAAAGCGCGTCTC